GCCATGCAGAATCCGAGCTGGTTTTTGAGTATTCTCAACAACAGCTCGTATCAAGTGAGTTCAGCCATGCAGAATCCGAGCTGGTTTTTGAGTATTCTCAACAACAGCTCGTATCAAGTGAGTTCAGCCATGCAGAATCCGAGCTGGTTTTTGAGTATTCTCAACAACAGCTCGTATCAAGTGAGTTCAGCCATGCAGAATCCGAGCTGGTTTCTGAGTATTCTCAACAACAGCTCGTATCAAGTGAGTTCAGCCATGCAGAATCCGAGCTGGTTTTTGAGTATTCTCAACAACAGCTCGTATCAAGTGAGTTCAGCCATGCAGAATCCGAGCTGGTTTCTGAGTATTCTCAACAACAGCTCGTATCAAGTGAGTTCAGCCATGCAGAATCCGAGCTGGTTTTTGAGTATTCTCAACAACAGCTCGTATCAAGTGAGTTCAGCCATGCAGAATCCGAGCTGGTTTCTGAGTATTCTCAACAACAGCTCGTATCAAGTGAGTTCAGCCATGCAGAATCCGAGCTGGTTTCTGAGTATTCTCAACAACAGCTCGTATCAAGTGAGTTCAGCCATGCAGAATCCGAGCTGGTTTTTGAGTATTCTCAACAACAGCTCGTATCAAGTGAGTTCAGCCATGCAGAATCCGAGCTGGTTTCTGAGTATTCTCAACAACAGCTCGTATCAAGTGAGTTCAGCCATGCAGAATCCGAGCTGGTTTCTGAGTATTCTCAACAACAGCTCGTATCAAGTGAGTTCAGCCATGCAGAATCCGAGCTGGTTTTTGAGTATTCTCAACAACAGCTCGTATCAAGTGAGTTCAGCCATGCAGAATCCGAGCTGGTTTTTGAGTATTCTCAACAACAGCTCGTATCAAGTGAGTTCAGCCATGCAGAATCCGAGCTGGTTTTTGAGTATTCTCAACAACAGCTCGTATCAAGTGAGTTCAGCCATGCAGAATCCGAGCTGGTTTTTGAGTATTCTCAACAACAGCTCGTATCAAGTGAGTTCAGCCATGCAGAATCCGAGCTGGTTTTTGAGTATTCTCAACAACAGCTCGTATCAAGTGAGTTCAGCCATTCAGAATCCGAGCTGGTTTTTGAGTATTCTCAACAACAGCTCGTATCAAGTGAGTTCAGCCATGCAGAATCCGAGCTGGTTTTTGAGTATTCTCAACAACAGCTCGTATCAAGTGAGTTCAGCCATGCAGAATCCGAGCTGGTTTTTGAGTATTCTCAACAACAGCTCGTATCAAGTGAGTTCAGCCATGCAGAATCCGAGCTGGTTTTTGAGTATTCTCAACAACAGCTCGTATCAAGTGAGTTCAGCCATGCAGAATCCGAGCTGGTTTTTGAGTATTCTCAACAACAGCTCGTATCAAGTGAGTTCAGCCATGCAGAATCCGAGCTGGTTTCTGAGTATTCTCAACAACAGCTCGTATCAAGTGAGTTCAGCCATGCAGAATCCGAGCTGGTTTTTGAGTATTCTCAACAACAGCTCGTATCAAGTGAGTTCAGCCATGCAGAATCCGAGCTGGTTTCTGAGTATTCTCAACAACAGCTCGTATCAAGTGAGTTCAGCCATGCAGAATCCGAGCTGGTTTTTGAGTATTCTCAACAACAGCTCGTATCAAGTGAGTTCAGCCATGCAGAATCCGAGCTGGTTTTTGAGTATTCTCAACAACAGCTCGTATCAAGTGAGTTCAGCCATGCAGAATCCGAGCTGGTTTTTGAGTATTCTCAACAACAGCTCGTATCAAGTGAGTTCAGCCATGCAGAATCCGAGCTGGTTTTTGAGTATTCTCAACAACAGCTCGTATCAAGTGAGTTCAGCCATGCAGAATCCGAGCTGGCTTTTGAGTATTCTCAACAACAGCTCGTATCAAGTGAGTTCAGCCATGCAGAATCCGAGCTGGTTTTTGAGTATTCTCAACAACAGCTCGTATCAAGTGAGTTCAGCCATGCAGAATCCGAGCTGGTTTTTGAGTATTCTCAACAACAGCTCGTATCAAGTGAGTTCAGCCATGCAGAATCCGAGCTGGTTTTTGAGTATTCTCAACAACAGCTCGTATCAAGTGAGTTCAGCCATGCAGAATCCGAGCTGGTTTTTGAGTTTTCTCAACAACAGCTCGTATCAATTGAGTTCAGCCATGCAGAATCCGAGCTGGTTTTTGAGTATTCTCAACAACAGCTCGTATCAAGTGAGTTCAGCCATGCAGAATCCGAGCTGGTTTTTGAGTATTCTCAACAACAGCTCGTATCAAGTGAGTTCAGCCATGCAGAATCCGAGCTGGTTTTTGAGTATTCTCAACAACAGCTCGTATCAAGTGAGTTCAGCCATGCAGAATCCGAGCTGGTTTTGAGTATTCTCAACAACAGCTCGTATCAAGTGAGTTCAGCCATGCAGAATCCGAGCTGGTTTCTGAGTATTCTCAACAACAGCTCGTATCAAGTGAGTTCAGCCATGCAGAATCCGAGCTGGTTTTTGAGTATTCTCAACAACAGCTCGTATCAAGTGAGTTCAGCCATGCAGAATCCGAGCTGGTTTTTGAGTATTCTCAACAACAGCTCGTATCAAGTGAGTTCAGCCATGCAGAATCCGAGCTGGTTTTTGAGTATTCTCAACAACAGCTCGTATCAAGTGAGTTCAGCCATGCAGAATCCGAGCTGGTTTTTGAGTATTCTCAACAACAGCTCGTACCAAGTGAGTTCAGCCATGCAGAATCCGAGCTGGTTTTTGAGTATTCTCAACAACAGCTCGTATCAAGTGAGTTCAGCCATGCAGAATCCGAGCTGGTTTTTGAGTATTCTCAACAACAGCTCGTATCAAGTGAGTTCAGCCATGCAGAATCCGAGCTGGTTTTTGAGTTTTCTCAACAACAGCTCGTATCAATTGAGTTCAGCCATGCAGAATCCGAGCTGGTTTTTGAGTATTCTCAACAACAGCTCGTATCAAGTGAGTTCAGCCATGCAGAATCCGAGCTGGTTTTTGAGTATTCTCAACAACAGCTCGTATCAAGTGAGTTCAGCCATGCAGAATCCGAGCTGGTTTTTGAGTATTCTCAACAACAGCTCGTATCAAGTGAGTTCAGCCATGCAGAATCCGAGCTGGTTTTTGAGTATTCTCAACAACAGCTCGTATCAAGTGAGTTCAGCCATGCAGAATCCGAGCTGGTTTTTGAGTATTCTCAACAACAGCTCGTATCAAGTGAGTTCAGCCATGCAGAATCCGAGCTGGTTTCTGAGTATTCTCAACAACAGCTCGTATCAAGTGAGTTCAGCCATGCAGAATCCGAGCTGGTTTCTGAGTATTCTCAACAACAGCTCGTATCAAGTGAGTTCAGCCATGCAGAATCCGAGCTGGTTTTTGAGTATTCTCAACAACAGCTCGTATCAAGTGAGTTCAGCCATGCAGAATCCGAGCTGGTTTTTGAGTATTCTCAACAACAGCTCGTATCAAGTGAGTTCAGCCATGCAGAATCCGAGCTGGTTTTTGAGTATTCTCAACAACAGCTCGTACCAAGTGAGTTCAGCCATGCAGAATCCGAGCTGGTTTTTGAGTATTCTCAACAACAGCTCGTATCAAGTGAGTTCAGCCATGCAGAATCCGAGCTGGTTTTTGAGTATTCTCAACAACAGCTCGTATCAAGTGAGTTCAGCCATGCAGAATCCGAGCTGGTTTTTGAGTTTTCTCAACAACAGCTCGTATCAATTGAGTTCAGCCATGCAGAATCCGAGCTGGTTTTTGAGTATTCTCAACAACAGCTCGTATCAAGTGAGTTCAGCCATGCAGAATCCGAGCTGGTTTTTGAGTATTCTCAACAACAGCTCGTATCAAGTGAGTTCAGCCATGCAGAATCCGAGCTGGTTTTTGAGTATTCTCAACAACAGCTCGTATCAAGTGAGTTCAGCCATGCAGAATCCGAGCTGGTTTTTGAGTATTCTCAACAACAGCTCGTATCAAGTGAGTTCAGCCATGCAGAATCCGAGCTGGTTTTTGAGTATTCTCAACAACAGCTCGTATCAAGTGAGTTCAGCCATGCAGAATCCGAGCTGGTTTCTGAGTATTCTCAACAACAGCTCGTATCAAGTGAGTTCAGCCATGCAGAATCCGAGCTGGTTTTTGAGTATTCTCAACAACAGCTCGTATCAAGTGAGTTCAGCCATGCAGAATCCGAGCTGGTTTTTGAGTATTCTCAACAACAGCTCGTATCAAGTGAGTTCAGCCATGCAGAATCCGAGCTGGTTTTTGAGTATTCTCAACAACAGCTCGTATCAAGTGAGTTCAGCCATGCAGAATCCGAGCTGGTTTTTGAGTATTCTCAACAACAGCTCGTACCAAGTGAGTTCAGCCATGCAGAATCCGAGCTGGTTTTTGAGTATTCTCAACAACAGCTCGTATCAAGTGAGTTCAGCCATGCAGAATCCGAGCTGGTTTTTGAGTATTCTCAACAACAGCTCGTATCAAGTGAGTTCAGCCATGCAGAATCCGAGCTGGTTTTTGAGTTTTCTCAACAACAGCTCGTATCAATTGAGTTCAGCCATGCAGAATCCGAGCTGGTTTTTGAGTATTCTCAACAACAGCTCGTATCAAGTGAGTTCAGCCATGCAGAATCCGAGCTGGTTTTTGAGTATTCTCAACAACAGCTCGTATCAAGTGAGTTCAGCCATGCAGAATCCGAGCTGGTTTTTGAGTATTCTCAACAACAGCTCGTATCAAGTGAGTTCAGCCATGCAGAATCCGAGCTGGTTTTTGAGTATTCTCAACAACAGCTCGTATCAAGTGAGTTCAGCCATGCAGAATCCGAGCTGGCTTTTGAGTATTCTCAACAACAGCTCGTATCAAGTGAGTTCAGCCATGCAGAATCCCTTTTCACCCATACGACCATATGCATGCTCGCACCACTCCACTTTCTCTATGTGCCTACGACGAAAATCACACATCACAAGAAGCGTTACAATGTGACGTCACTCCACTGCTGCTAATGTGGCTACTCCAACGCTGCTAATGCTGCAACTCCAGCACCCACCTCTTGGCTGAAATGACAAGCTCGCCTCCGTCACTTTCTCCATCCTCCACCTCCCCTTCCCTATCCTCCTTCCCCCCATCCTTACCCTTCTCCTCCCCCTCCTTTTCCTCACCCTTCCCCTCCCTCCTCTCCTCCTGCTCCCCCTCCTTCTCCTTTGCCATTCTCTCTGACTCCCCCGTGCTGGTCTCCGTGGCCCCTCCCTTCGCCCCCTCTGCTGCGCCCTGCATGATGGCGTGTGCTGCTGCCAGCCCCACCAGCTGCTCCGCTTCTAATGAAGCAAAGGAGTGGGAAAGGGGGGAAGGGAAAGGAGTGAAGGAATCAAACAAGGAGCGGTGCGAAAGGAACGCTCAACCGCATGATGGCATGCGCTGCCTGCTGCCCATTCCACCACCTGCTCCGTTTTTGATAAAGGAAAACAGTGACAAGAGAGAGGGAGGGGGGGGGGGGGGGAGGGGAGGGGTAAGAGTAAAGGAATCGAAGGAGGACAGGTGTGAAGGGATGGCGTGTCTGCATATTGATTGCGTGTGCTGCGATGGTAACGAGGTGACTTTTGAGTCGACTCAAAAGTCACTTGGTAAGAGTGAAGGAATCGAAGGAGGATAGGTGTGAAGGGAACGCCCAACTGCATGTTGATTGCGTGTGCTGCGGCCAACCCCACCACCTTCTCCACCTCTGATGATGCAAATAAGTGAACGAAGGGAAGGGGAAGTGGAGGAAAAGGGAGAGAGGAGGAGAAAAGGGAAATGGAGGAAGTGAAGGGAGGAGGGACGAAGTGACCTTATCAGTTACGGCATTTGCGTTTACACAGAGCACTGGGCGGGGGAGATCCACAAGCGTACGCTAGCTGCTTCCCGTGCAACCTCCCACCCCACCCAATCCTCCTCACCTTCCTCTGTCAGAGGCTCGGCAAAAGTGACCTTGTCCAAGTCAGTGCAGGTGAGATCGTTGGTGGCCATGACCTGATGGGGAGAGAGGGGAGAGAGGACTCTGAACACACCTTGTCCAGGTCCGAGCAGGTGAGGTCATTGCTGGCCATGACCTGTTGGGGAGAGGGGGGAGAAGTGACAACGAGGATAGGTATGCGTCATGCGCTCAGTTCCTCCCATCCCTCACTCCTATTGCAAACTGCACCCACTTGCTTCCACAACCACAACCACACTCACACCAGACCCCACCTTCTCCACCATCCACTCAAAAGTCAACTCTGCTGGCACAACCACACCCACACCGGACCCCACCTTCTCCAGCATGCGCCGGTTGGCCAGCATCTGCATGAGCTGCGCGTCTCTCTCCATCAGCTTCGCCCAAACCTCCGCCGCCGGACCTGCCCTGGGCTGCCGAACCACAAACCGGTTCGGAAACATGTCGCTGAGAGGCTCCCAAGCCGTGCTGGCAGGCCCGGCAGCTGCTGCCGTTCCCCCTGCCGCCCCCTCTGCTGCATCCTGAGGTCAAGGCACAGGGGGAGGGAGCCGGGGAGAGAGGCAAGGAAACGAGACAAGTGGGAGGGACAGGCAAAAGAGTAAGTGGGAGAGGCAGGCAAAAGAGTAAGTGGGAGAGGTAACAGACACAAAACGCAGAGGGAGACAAAGCACAGGGCTCTTCATGACAACTCAAGGGGTCCCCTTCCCCTCGCTACTCAAGCCTCATTCCTCGAATGGTCGTTTATTGAATAAAACATTGTTCCTCCGTCTCCTCTTGTCTCAGCCTTAGCCGTCAACCCGTCACCCTCGCTGTCACCCCATCACCTTACTCTCTAATCAACATCTTTCTCAGCTGCAGCAGCAGCAGCAGCAAAGGAGGAGGAGGAGGAGGAGGAGGAGGAGGAGGAGGAGGAGGAGGAGGAGGAGGAGGAGGAGGAGGAGGAGGAGGAGGAGGAGGAGGAGGAGGAGGGGGAGGAGGGGGAGGGGGAGGGGGAGGAGGAGGAGGAGGAGGAGGAGGAGGAGGAGGAGGAGGAGGAGGAGGAGGAGGAGGAGGAGGAGGAGGAGGAGGAGGAGGAGGAGGAGGAGGAGGAGGAGGAAGAGGAGGAGGAGGAGGAGGAAGAGGAGGAGGAGGAAGAGGAGGAGCGAGCGAGCGTTGGAGCCAGCAGACACGATGGGCCGCACCAGACGACTCAAATGGAGCGAGCAAGCACACAATGCAAGGAGACATGCAGTCAGTCAAGGTAAGAGCTCCCTCTCTCTCCCGCTCTCCGACCACTCACCACATCTTTGGCAGCCACCGCAGAGGTGGATTCGGAGCGAGCCACGGAGCCGACAAACACGATGGGCCCCACCAGACGACTCATTTGAGACTCAAACTGGGCGGCACTCGAGGAAGCCTCGGCCAATCGCGACGCGTCGCGGATGAAGACAATGATTGGTCCACGTGGCAGCTCCTTCTCCAGCACCTGATTGGGCGGGCAGCAAACAGATGCAGAAGACGTGAGTGTGGGAAGCGTGCAAGGAGCGGATTGGCATTTCAGGGATCGCAATTCAACAACGAGTCTGCTTTTGAGTCGACTCAAAAGGAATCGCAATTCAACAACGAGTCTGCTTTTGAGTCGACTCAAAAGGGATCGCAATTCAACAACGAGTCTGCTTTTGAGTCGACTCAAAAGGGATCGCAATTCAACAACGAGTCTGCTTTTGAGTCGACTCAAAAGGGATCGCAATTCAACAACGAGTCTGCTTTTGAGTCGACTCAAAAGGGATCGCAATTCAACAACGAGTCTGCTTTTGAGTCGACTCAAAAGGGATCGCAATTCAACAACGAGTCTGCTTTTGAGTCGACTCAAAAGGGATCGCAATTCAACAACGAGTCTGCTTTTGAGTCGACTCAAAAGGGATCGCAATTCAACAACGAGTCTGCTTTTGAGTCGACTCAAAAGGGATCGCAATTCAACAACGAGTCTGCTTTTGAGTCGACTCAAAGGGATCGCAATTCAACAACGAGTCTGCTTTTGAGTCGACTCAAAAGGGATCGCAATTCAACAACGAGTCTGCTTTTGAGTCGACTCAAAAGGGATCGCAATTCAACAACGAGTCTGCTTTTGAGTCGACTCAAAAGGGATCGCAATTCAACAACGAGTCTGCTTTTGAGTCGACTCAAAAGGGATCGCAATTCAACAACGAGTCTGCTTTTGAGTCGACTCAAAAGGGATCGCAATTCAACAACGAGTATGCTTTTGAGTCGACTCAAAAGGGATCGCAATTCAACAACGAGTCTGCTTTTGAGTCGACTCAAAAGGGATCGCAATTCAACAACGAGTCTGCTTTTGAGTCGACTCAAAAGGGATCGCAATTCAACAACGAGTCTACTTTTGAGTCGACTCAAAAGGGATCGCAATTCAACAACGAGTCTGCTTTTGAGTCGACTCAAAAGGGATCGCAATTCATTAACGAGTCTGCTTTTGAGTCGACTCAAAAGGGATCGCAATTCAACAACGAGTCTGCTTTTGAGTCGACTCAAAAGGGATCGCAATTCAACAACGAGTCTGCTTTTGAGTCGACTCAAAAGGGATCGCCATTCAACAACGAGTCTGCTTTTGAGTCGACTCAAAAGGGATCGCAATTCAACAACGAGTCTGCTTTTGAGTCGACTCAAAAGGGATCGCAATTCAACAACGAGTCTGCTTTTGAGTCGACTCAAAAGGGATCGCAATTCAACAACGAGTCTGCTTTTGAGTCGACTCAAAAGGGATCGCAATTCAACAACGAGTCTGCTTTTGAGTCGACTCAAAAGGGATCGCAATCCAACAACGAGTCTGCTTTTGAGTCGACTCAAAAGGGATCGCAATTCAACAACGAGTCTGCTTTCGAGTCGACTCAAAAGGGATCGCAATTCAACAACGAGTCTGCTTTTGAGTCGACTCAAAAGGGATCGCAATTCAACAACGAGTCTGCTTTTGAGTCGACTCAAAAGGGATCGCAATTCAACAACGAGTCTGCTTTTGAGTCGACTCAAAAGGGATCGCAATTCAACAACGAGTCTGCTTTTGAGTCGACTCAAAAGGGATCGCAATTCAACAACGAGTCTGCTTTTGAGTCGACTCAAAAGGGATCGCAATTCAACAACGAGTCTGCTTTTGAGTCGACTCAAAAGGGATCGCAATTCAACAACGAGTCTGCTTTTGAGTCGAATCAAAAGGGATCGCAATTCAACAACGAGTCTGCTTTTGAGTCGACTCAAAAGGGATCGCAATCCAACAACGAGTCTGCTTTTGAGTCGACTCAAAAGGGATCGCAATTCAACAACGAGTCTGCTTTTGAGTCGACTCAAAAGGGATCGCAATTCAACAACGAGTCTGCTTTTGAGTCGACTCAAAAGGGATCGCAATTCAACAACGAGTCTGCTTTTGAGTCGACTCAAAAGGGATCGCAATTCAACAACGAGTCTGCTTTTGAGTCGACTCAAAAGGGATCGCAATTCAACAACGAGTCTGCTTTTGAGTCGACTCAAAAGGGATCGCAATTCAACAACGAGTCTGCTTTTGAGTCGACTCAAAAGGGATCGCAATTCAACAACGAGTCTGCTTTTGAGTCGAATCAAAAGGGATCGCAATTCAACAACGAGTCTGCTTTTGAGTCGACTCAAAAGGGATCGCAATCCAACAACGAGTCTGCTTTTGAGTCGACTCAAAAGGGATCGCAATTCAACAACGAGTCTGCTTTTGAGTCGACTCAAAAGGGATCGCAATTCAACAACGAGTCTGCTTTTGAGTCGACTCAAAAGGGATCGCAATTCAACAACGAGTCTGCTTTTGAGTCGACTCAAAAGGGATCGCAATTCAACAACGAGTCTGCTTTTGAGTCGACTCAAAAGGGATCGCAATTCAACAACGAGTCTGCTTTTGAGTCGACTCAAAAGGGATCGCAATTCAACAACGAGTCTGCTTTTGAGTCGACTCAAAAGGGATCGCAATTCAACAACGAGTCTGCTTTTGAGTCGACTCAAAAGGGATCGCAATTCAACAACGAGTCTGCTTTTGAGTCGACTCAAAAGGGATCGCAATTCAACAACGAGTCTGCTTTTGAGTCGACTCAAAAGGGATCGCAATTCAACAACGAGTCTGCTTTTGAGTCGACTCAAAAGGGATCGCAATTCAACAACGAGTCTGCTTTTGAGTCGACTCAAAAGGGATCGCAATTCAACAACGAGTCTGCTTTTGAGTCGACTCAAAAGGGATCGCAATTCAACAACGAGTCTGCTTTCGAGTCGACTCAAAAGGGATCGCAATTCAACAACGAGTCTGCTTTTGAGTCGACTCAAAAGGGATCGCAATTCAACAACGAGTCTGCTTTTGAGTCGACTCAAAAGGGATCGCAATTCAACAACGAGTCTGCTTTTGAGTCGACTCAAAAGGGATCGCAATTCAACAACGAGTCTGCTTTTGAGTCGACTCAAAAGGGATCGCAATTCAACAACGAGTCTGCTTTTGAGTCGACTCAAAAGGGATCGCAATTCAACAACGAGTCTGCTTTTGAGTCGACTCAAAAGGGATCGCAATTCAACAACGAGTCTGCTTTTGAGTCGAATCAAAAGGGATCGCAATTCAACAACGAGTCTGCTTTTGAGTCGACTCAAAAGGGATCGCAATCCAACAACGAGTCTGCTTTTGAGTCGACTCAAAAGGGATCGCAATTCAACAACGAGTCTGCTTTTGAGTCGACTCAAAAGGGATCGCAATTCAACAACGAGTCTGCTTTTGAGTCGACTCAAAAGGGATCGCAATTCAACAACGAGTCTGCTTTTGAGTCGACTCAAAAGGGATCGCAATTCAACAACGAGTCTGCTTTTGAGTCGACTCAAAAGGGATCGCAATTCAACAACGAGTCTGCTTTTGAGTCGACTCAAAAGGGATCGCAATTCAACAACGAGTCTGCTTTTGAGTCGACTCAAAAGGGATCGCAATTCAACAACGAGTCTGCTTTTGAGTCGAATCAAAAGGGATCGCAATTCAACAACGAGTCTGCTTTTGAGTCGACTCAAAAGGGATCGCAATCCAACAACGAGTCTGCTTTTGAGTCGACTCAAAAGGGATCGCAATTCAACAACGAGTCTGCTTTTGAGTCGACTCAAAAGGGATCGCAATTCAACAACGAGTCTGCTTTTGAGTCGACTCAAAAGGGATCGCAATTCAACAACGAGTCTGCTTTTGAGTCGACTCAAAAGGGATCGCAATTCAACAACGAGTCTGCTTTTGAGTCGACTCAAAAGGGATCGCAATTCAACAACGAGTCTGCTTTTGAGTCGACTCAAAAGGGATCGCAATTCAACAACGAGTCTGCTTTTGAGTCGACTCAAAAGGGATCGCAATTCAACAACGAGTCTGCTTTTGAGTCGACTCAAAAGGGATCGCAATTCAACAACGAGTCTGCTTTTGAGTCGACTCAAAAGGGATCGCAATTCAACAACGAGTCTGCTTTTGAGTCGACTCAAAAGGGATCGCAATTCAACAACGAGTCTGCTTTTGAGTCGACTCAAAAGGGATCGCAATTCAACAACGAGTCTGCTTTTGAGTCGACTCAAAAGGGATCGCAATTCAACAACGAGTCTGCTTTTGAGTCGACTCAAAAGGGATCGCAATTCAACAACGAGTCTGCTTTTGAGTCGACTCAAAAGGGATCGCAATTCAACAACGAGTCTGCTTTTGAGTCGACTCAAAAGGGATCGCAATTCAACAACGAGTCTGCTTTTGAGTCGACTCAAAAGGGATCGCAATCCAACAACGAGTCTGCTTTTGAGTCGACTCAAAAGGGATCGCAATTCAACAACGAGTCTGCTTTTGAGTCGACTCAAAAGGGATCGCAATTCAACAACGAGTCTGCTTTTGAGTCGACTCAAAAGGGATCGCAATTCAACAACGAGCTTGAAGTGGGTTACCATGGCGAGATGAATGGTGAGACGAATGGCGAGATGAATGGCGAGATGAATGGAGCCGAGAAGCACTGCGTTGAGTTGCATGCATGTTGACTTGCATTTAGAAAACCAAACGAGTTGCATTGCAGTGCAAGCAAACCACATCACTTGCCAAGTCCCTTGCTACTCTCCTTCCACTTGCATGATTTTTGAGGCGCCTCAAAAGATTTTTTTGAGGCGCCTCACAAACCACGTCACTTGCCAAGTCCCTTGCTACTCTCCTGCCACTTGCATGCACCTTAATACACAGTCACCTTCCACACTGCAATACCCCAGCCATGGCACTGCACCTCTCCGTCTGCCACGTTACTGTAACAATCTCTCCTTCATGGTACCATGCCTATGTCTCTGCCATGGTACCATACCGTGCCTATCTGTCTGCCACAGTACCGTGCCTCTATGTCTGCCATGGTACCGTACCTGCATGAGAGCCACGGTGGCTGCACACTCCTTCACACTGCTGGATGATTCCTCCAATAGCAGCTCAGATGCTGACGTGGCAGGGAGAGAACAGAAAAGGGGTGTGGCATGGAGAGACATGTGGTGAGTCAGGAAAGAAACGAGAAGAGGGAGGAGACAGGGTGGAGCGAGGAGCAGCAAGGTGCAGAGCGGTGCAGAGAGTTGTGCAGAGAGAAGTGAGAGTCAGATACACTGTGAGGTAGATTTGGAGGAAAGGAAGGAGGGGGGAGGGAAAGAGACGCGTGGGCGATGTAGGGAGGGAGAGAGTGAGAGGTGGATGTGTGTTGAAATCGAGAAATGACTGGAGAGATTGTAGGGTGTACGAAGAAGGTACTGAGGGAACAAGTAAGCGTGGCATATGAACGGGACCGCCCCAAGCAGCCAAAGGTAATCAGAAAAAAAAAAAACAATTCAAAGGTAACCCAAGCACTTAACTCATGTGCACCCATGCACACCCATGTGCACCACACACGAAAAAACGACATGCGCACACAACTACCGTCGGAAACAACTGCCACACCCTCCCCCCCCCCTTCAACACACTCACACAAATAACCATCCCATCCCCATCATCAATCACCCCATCACCATCCATCCAAGTACTCTACGCTGCACCGCATAGCACCACAGCGCACCATAGCAGATGTGGCCGTGCCCCCCGTCACAGAGGCCGCTGAGGGAGTGGCCTCCCGGCACGGGCGAGTCAAAGCGCACCCCCACCGTCTCATACGTCGCCACCACCTGCCCCGTGGCCCCGCGAGGGGGGCGGCTGGGAGGAGTGGGAAGAGAGAAAGCAGCAGACAAGGGGGAGTTGTGAGGACACAGGCAGCAAGCCACATGGGACACCCACCATCTCGTATGTCGACGCCACCTGCCCCGTTGCTCCCCTGGGGGGCCGACTGGAAGGGTGGGGAAGGAGGGAAAAGCAGGGGAGTAAGGACGAGGTGAGTGCATCGGCGCCTCAGGTGTTGACAGGCGATGTGCGAGATGATGGTGCAATTTGACAGGCGATTCAAACCGCATCCTCACCGTCTCGTCTCATACACCGCCACCCACCCACCCACCCACCGTTGTGGCTCCCCGGAGGGGCAACTAGAGGGGCGAGTGGGGGAAAGAACGGTTCAAGGAGAAAGAAGAGCTAAACGCATGGGTACTTCCAGGTGGAGAGGTGACTTATTGAAATTGGCGCACAGGTTGACCCGGGAGTGGACGACGAGTGAGAGAGCGACCAACATATATTATATCAACACGAGGACCATTCGAGAGGTGCACGATGGTGCAGAATAGCAGAGTATGCTCGCTAACACTGTCGCTAACACTGTCGCTAACACTGTCGCTAACACTGTCGCTAAAACTGTCGCTGCACCATCTAGGGAACGCCACACCACCAACCATATCTCCCAAATGCTGCGCACACTAATGCTGCTACTGCAACAGCTGAATGATACTAGACCGTAACTAAGCTTCCGAGCGGCAGCTGCGAAACACACACCTGGGGACGGGCACGTCCGTGCTGTAGCCGTCAACGTTGACATAGGTGACACGGTCCCCTGGCAAGGTGAGACACACGCACCGCACACACCGCATGTCACATTGGCGCGTGAGCAGTTTGTAAATCACAGAAAAGCAGACTCCTGAAAAGTCCTCCCTGAAAATCACATTAAGATTTTCTTCCACCAGTCTCTTTCCGTATTCCTTGCCACCGCACTAACGCTTGAAATTTTTGGAGCCTCACAATTTCTTCCCGAGGATTTCAAGCAGCTGACTTCCCTGGAGATGTTGTGTCTGGTTAAGTGCTGTCCGCTCAGCTGCCTGCCCGTATCCCTTGGCGATCAAAGGGGCCTCAAAACAGCTAACTATAGGGGAATGCAGCGTGCTGAGGCGGCTTCCAGACTCCTTGAGTCTGCTATCGTCCCTCGAGCTGCTAAAAAAAAGAGATTACTGCAATCTGATGGTGATACAAAAGCAGTCACATTCTTTAGAAGCTCGAGCGACGATAGCAGACTCAGGGTGTCTGAAAGCCACCGCAGCATGCTGCATTCTCATATATTCAGCACCTTGAAGCTCCTCAGATCGCCAATGGATGCGGACATGCTGCTGAGCCACCGGAGCTTATTTAGACGCAGCGTCTCTAGGGCTGTCAGTTGTCCAAAACCCTCGCGAAGAAATCGTGGGGCTCTAAAATTTGCAAGCGTGAGCCTTTTCAGTGCAGTGGCAAGGAATAGAGAGGCAGCTACGTTGGACTGGTCAGGCATCACTGAGCCATGGAAGCAGTCAAAATGTGCACCCAAGCACCCGACCACTAAAAAGAACTCTCCTCTCCTCTCCCTTCCTTTCCTCCCCACTCCTCTTCTTTCCTTTCCCCCTCTCCTCCTGTCCTCTCATCTCCCCCCTCTCCTCTCCTCTCCTCTCCTCTCGTCTTCCCCCATTCACAATACTCTCCATCTGCAAACTCGTCTCACAAGCAAAACTCCACCACCACTCTGACTCCCCTTCCACCGCTCCCCACCCAAAACACGTACCCACTCTCAGAGCCCTGGTCGCCCCATCCTCCTCCCCTCCCCCACTTCCAAACCCGTAGTCATCCCCGCCGCCCCGCCCCTCCCCCTCCCCCTCGCCGCTCTGAGAGTAAGCGCCACTGTTGCTGTCCCCGCCTGCCCCTGTACCCCCTGTGCCCCTGCCGCTGCCTGTGCCCAGAGTGTTCCCTACAGCCACCCCCACAGCCATCATTGCTGCCATCGCCACCAGATGCTTTGCCAAACTCGCATACTGCAAGGGTGGGAGGCGAGGGGAGCAAGGCGGGACGTGGGCGGAGGACGGGAAGAGGTGGGACAGGTAAAGGGTGTGCATAGTGTGTTCCCCACTGCCACTCCTACAGCCATCATTGCTGCCATGACCACCAGATGCTTTGCCAAGCTCGCATACTGCAGGAGGTAGAGCGAGGGTGAGGGGGAAGAGGGGGGGCTTGTGGGGGAAGGTAGTGGAAAGAGGGGGAGAAAGGCCTTCGAGACATTTCAAAAGTTGCACACCCCACAGCCACCCCGACGGCCATCATTGCTGCCATCGCCACCAGATGCTTCGCCAAACTCGCATACTGCGGAGGAGGGTGGGAGGGGTGATGGAAGGGCGGGAGGGGTGATGGACGGGCGGGAGGGGTGATGGAAGGGCGGGAGGGGTGATGGAAGGGCGGGAGGGGTGATGGAAGGGCGGGAGGGGTGATGGAAGGGCGGGAGGGGTGATGGAAGGGCGGGAGGGGTGATGGAAGGGCGGGAGGGGTGATGGAAAGCGGGAGGGGTGATGGAAAGCGGGAGGGGGCTTACAGATGCCTTGCTACAAGGGAGGAGGGAAGGGGCAACTCTGGTAGACAGCGTGTGAATGGGGTGAGCGCTTGGAGCAACGAAAAAGGGCCGCGAAAAAAGGGAGACGAGGACTAGACACAGCAGCACAAGGGGAATGGAGCGGAAAAACGGATGGGGAGGGGCGGGGGTGGAGGGACGGGCCAAGGCAGGGAAGGGCGGGACAGGGAGGGTCCAGGGAGGGACCAGGGAGGGATGCAGGGAGGGGCGACGCAGGGAGGGGCAAGGCAGGGAGGGGCAAGGCAGGGAGGGGCAAGGCAGGGAGGGGCAAGGCAGGGAGGGGCAAGGCAGGGAGGGGCAAGGCAGGGAGGGGCAAGGCAGGGAGGGGCAAGGCAGGGAGGGGCAAGGCAGGGAGGGGCAAGGCAGGGAGGGGAGAGGAAGGGGGCGGGAAGTGGCCAGGGAGGGGGGCAAAGGGGGGGCAGAGAGGGGGGCACCGAGAGGAGAGGAGCTTACGAGAGGCGAGTCGAGCGAGTCGGAGAGGCCTGCGGAGTCAAGAGAGTCGCGCGGCTTGTCTGCTGCTGGCCTCCTCTTTGGCACCGATGACATGTCCGCCTGCCCCCCATGCCATGCACACACCATGCCATGCCATGCCGCACCACGGCACACAGCAACAGTGGACACATGAGTGAGCCCATGGTACGGAAGCAGGCCATAGGGACGGCGAAACTCGAAAGGCGGGGTTGACCGGGCAGGGGCGGAGGAAAAGGCAGGCAGTCAGTCAGGGGAGGGCAGTGGGTACAGGACGGACGGAGGAAAGGAGCGGGAGATTGAAACACACTCTAACGCACGCCTCACTTGCTTGAAAAAACTCCACCGTTTCTGCTGGTTTGGTTACGTTACGCAGCGACAATGTGCGCGCGCGCTAGTCGGGGAGGCGCAGCAGGGCAGCACTCACAGGGGAGAGGAACTTGTCAGCGTCAACAGCAATGAGGCGCGCGTTGAGCTTCCTGGCGATGGCTCTCACTAGCGTGTCCTGATACACCTCGCTGCCTGCTCGCACATAACAGAGAACGTGGGGGGTGGGCATGGGGAGAATTGGGAGAGCAGAGAGGGCAACAAGAGGCGTGCGTTGAGCTTCCTGGCGATGGCCCTCACCAACGTGTCCTGATTCACCTAGCTGCCTGCACGTGGGACAAGGAAACGGCGATGTATACACGCCTCTTCTGTCGTGTTACTTGTAAGTGCCAAAGCACTTGACCATGACATGACCTTCAAGCAGACTTAAGTTAACTCGTGTGAGTGCCCTTTGGGGTTGTAGCGGCAGAAATATTGACCAAAGCGAGCTCTGTGATGCATGAACCTGCTTGCGCCCGAACCTAGTCCTGTGGTGCGGGCCGAGGCTCACCGTGAGGTCCGGAGAGGAGAATCCAGTTGCTGAGGTTGGGAAAGCAGGCGACGAACTTGGCAAGGCGGGTGCGCTTGAGATGCACGAAGAAGGACGCGAGTAGATGCTCCTTGGCGTGGTTGCTGTGAGGGGAAAAGGGGGGAAGGGAGGGGGGATGGGGAGTAAACCGGGGGAGGAGGGAGAGAAGTGCAGGTTCAAAAGGGAGCATGGAGAAGAAGGACGCGAGTAGATGCTCCTTGTCATGGTTTCTGCGATGGGGGCGGGTTGTTGGAGGAGAGGGGTTGGTGTAGGGCGGAGGGGGGACGAGAAGTCAGGATGGGATAGAGAGATCATGAATTACACAGAATTGGGAATGAGAAGCGCAGGAGGAAAAATCCGGTGATGAGACGAACGAAGAAGGGCGAGAGCAGATGCTCCTTCTTGGCGTGGTTGCGGCGAACGGGAAAGGGGGGGTTGGGTTGGGGGTTTAGGGGGGAGGGGGAGGAGAGGAAGGCAGGAGGATGGGAGAGAGCATAGAACACAAGGATTTTGCAATGACATGCAACGAAGAAGGAGAAGCACGTGATTCTCGCCGTGGTTGCTGCTGGCGGGGCGGAGAGAGGAGTAGGGTAGAGGGGAGAAGGGCACTACTTGAACGGGAGCATGGAACAGTACAGTAATGAGATGTGCGAAGGACGCAAAAGGTGCTCCTTGCCTTGGTTGCTGCGAAAGAAGTGGGGGAGGAAGGGGGAGTTAGGTGGGGGGGGGAAGGAGGAGGGGGGAGGGGTAGGAGGGGGAAGGGGAGAGCAGGATGGATGGGAGGGAGCATGGATGGAAGGAATTCGGGTGGTTTGAGCAAAGGATTTTTTTCCAAAGGCATGCCGTACCTCATGTGGTACGGATATTTGCCCGCACGCATGCCGTACCTGATGTGGTACGAAGATTTGTCTGCAAGCACGCCATACCTGATGTGGTAGGGGAACTCATCCCAGTCAATATCAAACTCCTTCCCATCGAACATGGCTGCTTCAAACTCCTCCCTCAGCAGCTTCAACCCCGCTGCTGCCTCCGCCGCTTCCCCCGCGTCCCCCTCCTCCCCCATCTCCGCCTCGTCCCCCGCGCCCCCCTCCGCCAGCTCCTCGTCGTCTTCCGCCGGGTCCCCATACTCCCCCTCTCCGCCTTCCCCCTCCCCGCCTTCCCCCGCCTCCGCGACCTCCTCCGCTGATTCGCGGATCGCGTCGTCCCGCTTCCGCCGGCCGCGGCGGCGGAGGAGGAGCGCGACGCCTCCCGCGAGGCTCACGGCGATGGCTACAGGGAGCTGCGCCATGGCTGACGAAGTGGCACGTGGAGGATAAGGTGCCACGTGGCAGCAGAAGCAACGCCACGTGGAGGATCCGAGAAGAGAGAGCTCCCAGAAGGTGACGGACGCAGAGACCTTGTGACAGAAAGAATCTGGTGATCGTAACTACTGCTAACGCGGATGCTCTTAAAACGAGTATACCACGGGTGATCCTATCGTCGTCACTCGTCCTGATGACAGGAAATTAAAGCCTGTCTGTTCCAAGTAAAAGGTCAGAAGCGCGTTTGTGACTAAAACGGTGGGGCTAGTAGCAAGGACCTCGCGAGCGATGACAGTTTGGGAGGTCCGGCTAGCGATGCGAAGAAAATTGCATCCGTAGGGCAGCGAAAAATCTCCGAACTGAACCTACTATATCGCATCATCTACGACCATCAAAGGATACAAGACGCGGCATAGAAGAAACTCTTTTCAGTGGGTCTCTTCTATGTCCAGACGAAACGTCGGACGACGCGATGACTAGCATGTTATCGACTGACAGGCATGTTACCGCAAGTCTATCCAACGGTCGAGCGAGACGAGAGCAGCGGCAAATGACAGCCTGGCGAGACGACTGGACCAATTAGATCCCGCTGGTGAACGGACGAATCCGCTTATCAAAGTGCTTGCCAGACAATACGCTTCCGCACCGATGAAGACAAGTGCGAAAGGTGACGTTTATAGGCGGAGATGCCGAGGAGAAACTTAGTCATGATTAGCACATGCACCTTGCTTGAAAGGCGGGTCAGCACAACTAGTTTATACACCGAGAGTTGGGTCCGCAGCAGGGAACAAGAGCCATGGCCGAACTGGGGGTACGCGCCACGGCTCAGGGTGAAAGCTGTGAGATAATGCTTCGTTGTAGTATTTCGTGAGCAGTCGCTTGTGTTTCGTCAACGCGCAAGCACAGTTTGTAAATGCAGTTACAATTTCGCGACCGTCGCTGGACCCTCGTTACGGGGTCGCAGCAGTGAAGCCTCTGGAAAGAGGTGCAGGACCACCTTATTATGAGCTGGTTACACTACCTTACAAGCAGATATAGGTGTCATAGACAAAGTGCATAGAGAACATTTGCGTCAATTGACCTTCAACACTGGATTCAGATGGCCCAGCCTTGTTAGTAATGAAATTACAGTACACGCTAGCCTGTTTGAACCATGAAATCACATGTGATAACAGATATCCAGTTAAAATTTCTGAACCTGTGCTGGAATCGCGGCAGCCACTCATTTCTGGGCTCCTTTCAACGAGCAACAACTACATCAGTTGAGACTGGTGGTGGTGTGTTAGAATATATTTGTATACATTCTTTATAACTGTCTGCAGTGTAGACTGTAGTGTATCTCATTTGCTGTAGGTGGTGTACCATGTGGCCTTCTCCTTGCCTATATGTTTGTATGCTTTCCTAATATTGAACCTCTTTGGCCAATTCTCCCTCTCGATACCATCGCCATGATTCTCCTTGCTAAGGCTCCTAAACCTAATCTCCTTAGTTACTCCAACATGGTGGTGACATGAACTGAACTATAATGACGATTTCATACACTACTACTTACTTACCACATCACCCAGCCCCATCAGAATTCACCGCTCCTAAAGTGAACGACTTGTTATGTTTTTGGAAGTACGAAAGAGGGGCGTTGACTAGCCTGTCCAACAATTGCTCAAACTTGCTGTCGCTCACCTGAATCAATGTGCTTAGACTAATTTCTGCAGCATTTGACACACCACCCAGCCCCTCCCTGTCCTCCTCCCCCACACCTGATAAGGAATCCTCTGTTTTCCTCCCTATATGGCCAGCACCAGCGCCACCCTTGCCCTCACACACATCATCCCCTCTACTCCCACCACCAATTCTCTCTTCCTCTGAAGCACCCCTCCCACCATCACCACAACCCCCTCTCTCCCCATCAACCACGCACCGAGGCAGGCACACAATCCCGCCACCTCTCTCCACAACCCTAACCCCCGCATCCCTCACGCGCTGTATCCTCGGCCTGATCCTTTGCTCCAGGCTATAGCACGCCACCAGCGGCACCGCCACAACAGCCGCCTCCGACAGCCCCAACTCGCGCCGGAAGAACTCCGCCTTGGGAGCGATGTTGCTCTTCCAGCTCAGGTGCAGCAGCGCAGGGTACCGCACGAAGAGGTGGGAGAGTTCGGGTGGAGAGAGTTGTGGGAGCAGCGCTCGCCAGTGGTTGAAGTTCGAGAGCATGGTGGTGGAGTTGGTAGAGAGGATGCTGGAGCGTTTCTCGACCACCTGCTGGGCGTTTTCCGGCCCGCCCACGATCGTGCAGAGGGTGTGGAAGGTGGAGATCATCGTGCTCGCTGAGTGCGCTGGCAGCCGTCGGATCTGCCGGAAGATCTTCCGTGCGAGTGTTTCTGACCCTAGGATTGATTGGAAGGCGTCGAGCTTGGATTGGAGCTCCGAGATTGGCTGGGTGAGGATGTACGGCTGGCGTTGCACGATGGCGCTGACGTGGCCCTCGCCTGCCACCTGTGCAAGGAAATCTAATCTCTCCTGAACCCGTTCGGATGATAATTGCAGCAGACGTGGGCAGGCTTTGATGATGTATGACGTGTCCTTGATCCCCATGTTCAACAGCTTCTGGACACGTGGCTGCAGCTGAGTGGTCACATCGAACGCGAAAGCGCGCGGAAATCTCCTCAAAACCATTCCGATACTCTCTCCGTCGGCTAGCCCGAGCCCATTGAGGTACCGCACAACCTCCTTTATTTTTTCCGCGGGTTGCCCGAGCCACACTGAATCGTACAGCGCGCCGAGCGCCATGTCGCGCGGAGGCACGCCGCACGCAAACAGCACGCGCACACCCGGAAGGATCTTCTCCGCCATGCCGCTCCGCGCGAGCCCCGGGCGCGAGCGTAAAACGCGGCGCACTTCGCGGTCGTCCATCCCCCACCCGCGGAAGAGATCTAGCAGGTCCGTTGGGACTTTGTCGATCGAGACGATCGTGGTGTACGACGATTGCGGGTCATGCGACGTCGTCGCATCTGCGTCAGGCGACGGATCGTGACTCGCGATCGGGTCGTCGCAAGCCGCTGAACTGGTTTGCCTTGTCTCGTGTGATGCGGGTGACGGCGCCTCGTTGCACGGCGTCGTAGGAACGGAGGCGACCCGGCGGCGAGTCGCGCGGCTGTGCGAGAACCTGCTCCCGCCTCCGCCGTCAACGGCTCTCTCGGCTCCGAGCCGCGTCAGCCGCGCAACTGCTACCGTCCCCGCGAAACTGAGCCCAGCACCCCGCGTCTTCGCGAATGGGAGTGGCGTCTGACTCGCGGAAATCTCGCGACTGGCAACTACGGATCGCCGCAACGCCTCCTCCGAGGGGGAATGGGAAGCAGTCGTAGCTCTTGCATCCCTCGTATCACTCGAATCGCGAACTGCTCCGCCATCGAGAGCACAAGGCGAGGGTTGATAGGTCACGTAGGCAGACGTGGACGAGATCGCAGCACCGGGCGGGGAACGAGAGGGCACGCAAGACAGCGGCGCAACTGGCGGCCGATCAAGATGGGGCCCGACGAGACGAGCCGCCGCGCTACGAGCTAATCGAAACAGGCCTTTCCGGCGCTCCATTGCCGTTGTTTTCAGCGCGAGGGGAGACTAGCGGCGCCGACGCATATTAATTTCGCGTGTGGATGTCAAAGGTGTGACATACATGCGCGCGGCGCTTGGAGGAAGCTCTCCGCGTTGTCCGCCCAGGGAACAGTTTCTAGGAGCTTCGAGGCTGCCTTGAGGCGAGAGGACATGTCCCGCGTCAGTGTCGAGAAGGGGACGTAACGGTTCAAGACGGTGAAGTGGAGTGTCGCCTCTAAAGTGTAGAGCATGGAACTTGTTAAGGGGGGATTTACTGTTCATTCCGAACAGTACTTTCCAACTCACCCTTATCCTTATCTTCTTTGATTTCCTAGTGCCACGTGGCACTCTACTTTTCTTGCCTTCAATTCCTAGTCCCACGAAGTACTTTCCGACATTCGATCTTGCATGCTATATCAACCTTGCTTGTACTTTCCATTATCAATCAATTCTCATTCAACTCTTCTTCAATTACTCAGTAACTTCTTCGCCTATTTCGCCAATAGTTCTTTCGCCAAAGTCTTCCGCCGCGTTTCATCCTCGACTTAGTCGACCCCGCTAATTCTTTAGCGGACTTAGGCCGTCGGGCCTAACAGAACTGGAAAGTGACTTAAGTTATAAAGCTAGTTTCATCACCAAGAAAGCAAAGAACTGATGCTCTGGGGAAATGACTCCCTAGCAGTTATATTAATAGCATATACCGTATCGCCCCGGATATAACTGCAGGCCTATGTTAAGCGCATGCGCTTCTATCTGGAGCAATGCGCTTATGGCCGATCCTCAATTAGAAGCGCACCCTCTAAAAAAACCTTACTTATTATAAGCGCACCCTTGCTGTATAGACAAGAATGTCTGTTGTTTTTTTCACTTTCTTTACAACCTTCGTACAAACTACATTACTCTAGCTAAAAATTTCAACTAAAACTTTCAAGTCAAATACATTGGACTAGCATCCTAGCCTACACAACATTTTTATGTTTAGTCTAGCCAAAGGCCTACTCCTCGTCCGACTCAGGCCCCGTGGAGTTGTTGCCAAAGAACCCGTCTGCTTGGATGTCGTCATCAACCTCTACCTCGTGGGATAGCTGACCTCTCCGGTGCGCCAGCACCAGTCCGTCTTCACTCCCGTCAAGGGCATTACTGATGCCGCAGGTGAGGAACGCTCTCTTAATCAGGTCGGCGGGCACAGCTTTCCACGCCCGTGAAATCCACTTGAGCACCACCTCCGGAGATGGTTTCTTAATGTTCCCTGCACCACATACACGGGGGTGGGAAACACGTGGGTCCACAAGTAGGCAGACATACAGACGAAGCGGTCACGGGAGAACACTTTTGCGTACCTGCGGGTGTCAGGATATTCATGCCGTCCTGCTCGAACCAGGTCTGGTACTGCTGCCGAACACTCGCCTTGAAGCTTTTGTTGACCGACACATCGAGCGGCTGCAAGTCTGCCGTGCATCCCGCTGGGATGACCGCCGGCACGATGTTGAGTTCCGCGAACTTCGCCTTGACTTCGGGTGTCAGGTGTCCACGATAGGAGTCGAGCACTAGCATGGCGCTCCGGCTCTGCAATCCGAACTTCGGTTTCAGGAACGGCACCACGCCTGCACCGAGCCACTCGATTACGCCCGAGGCCTCCATCCACCCGTTAGCTTGGCAACCGACCACGACATCTGCATACAAGCAAGCGGTGGTTAGATTTTACTTTTGTTTTTCCCCTCGGAAACACGCGCATACGCAGTTTCTTACCGTTCGGAAAGTCACCCTTTGGGAGGGTCTTGCGCTTGAAAAACACCCACGGCTTCAACTTCTCGCCCGTCGCCGTGCACGCCAGCATCACAGTGACTCTCTCTTTCTGGTAACCACCACTGCGGATGGGCACCGACTTCACGCACGTCTGCTCCACCGTGGTAGTCGCCGGCATCTCCAGCCACAAAGGCGTCTGGTCGGCATTGATGATGTAACGATTGTCAATGTCGTAGTCGTGGCGTGCGTCGCGGACAAACTGCCAAAATTCCTTGCACTGCTTGGCCACGTCTGCGCACGGGGAGGGAGGAACGGTTACAAGGGCGGATGAGCACTGCTACAGATAAACAAACATGGGCAAGAAAGTACTGAAATACAAGATAAAAATTCACGATAGGATGACAGTGCACGGACAGGCACTTACGCTGCTGTGTCTTTTGCGCCACCTTTGTTTTCATGCGCACGGTGAGATTCCACCGCTTGCGGAACCGCTCCGTCCAGCGCTGACTCGCCTTCCACTTGACGTCCGGGAACAACACCTTCATCACCTCTTTTGACCAGTCTTGCAGCCGGCCGACTGATACTGCCACACCGCGGCGTCGCCAGTCCAGGAGTTGGGCGTACACCTTCATCTCCATGGGTCTGTACCAGGAAGACCTTCCGCGCCCATGAAGTCGACACCGAGCACTGTGTGCAGCCTTGAGCTCCTCCGCTTGGTTTTTCCACTCTGTGAGGCATTTGCGGTGTATGCCGGACTCCCGCGCGACCTCGCTTATCGATGCAGCAAGCTCCAGCCGAACGAGCCACTTCAGTTTCTCCTGGGCGGTGTAGCGCTGCCGTTTGTGCTGAGTCGGCTTGTGCCTGGGAGAAGGGGGGCGGGCATCTCGGTTCTCAGAGGAGGGGTGGGGTCGTTTTTTGTTAATCGACGGATCCGTTGGTATCGGCATCTTCTCGCGTGGTGCGTCGCGCCACCAAGACTCCACACCGTCGTCGTCCGCGTCTGTAGCTTCACGATCTGGGAACACGTCCTCCTCGGCGCCCTCTTCACCGTCGACTCCACCGTCGCCTCCAGCATCGCCGTCGCATGTGGGTTGTTTATCGGCGGCCACGTCATCGTCGGCGCCCACAGCCGACTCGTCCCACGTGCAGGCTTCAGGATTTCCCCACCGAGGTGCAGTCGGCGGACCATTGATTTGCCTAGCCTTGGGTGTGTCCGGTTCAGACAACCACTCGTCGAAAGTGGCAGGCAAATATAACTGGAGCACGGGCCGATGGTGACCCCACGCGTCAGGAACAGGAGGAGTCGGAGGATTCGGAGGAGCGGGAGGAGCAGGAGGAGCAGGAGGTGCAGGAGGAGCAGGCGGAGCAGGCGGTGCAGGGGGTGTAGGTGGCACTGGAGGCGCTGGTGGCTCACGTGTATACCACCCGTCCGAGGTTAGTCGCCAGGCGCGGGTTGGTTTCTTCTTGAAAAGGAGGTGCGTCCCACTGAATTCCGCCATGGCTTTGCCAGCCAGGCGGGCTAGACTAGAAACTGAATGAAAAAAATGAGGAGGAGGGTGCAGAAATGGGCAACGACGGGGACCCCTGCGGGCTAGCGGCTCGGGGTCCTCGTCAATGACAGGCAGGAAACCCCCGCCTACCCCCGTAGAGGAACCTGCGTGGCAGCATATTCGCTGCGCTGGCAGGGAATCTTCCCCACCCTTCGAGAGGGTTCGGAAGAAATGCAGATGCCACGCAGCGCATGCGGCTGTGATTGGGCCGCACGGCAACATCCCCGTCACTCCTATCACGTTCGATGGTTCTAGACAACTTTGTGCGGTGGGAAACCGAACCGCAGCTGTTTTTGCCTGAAAACCATGCACGATCCCACTTGTTGCATGGTCCGTTGGATTCGCCTTATTGCGGGCTTCAGTTTAGTATGTCTAAAAGTGAATTTCATTTTTTCCTTATTATAGGCGCATGCGCGTATACAGACACCTCAATTAGAAGCGCACCCCCCCAAAAAACACTGTTTTATTATAAGCGCACCTGCGCTTTTATCCGGGGTAATACGGTAATAGTTGCATCAGTATGATTGTGAGGATACCTAAATTTGTAACTACAAAAGGACAACAGAAGGCATCACATGGCAAAGCATAGCTAATGAAGCAAACAAGCCCTAGTGAAGGTTGCTCAATGATCCAGCAGGCAACAGATCAAAACTGGCCCGTGGTGGATTATGACACTCGACGCTAGCGACGAGGACGGCAGAGAAATGCCGCTCCGTCAAAAGGCCGTTACACTTGCTCCAATCGTCCTCCTCACCTCGCCGGCGCTGCTATCTCTGACCCCGACATAGAAGAGTTCGGGATTTGAGAACACCCCTGCGTCAACTAACTGCTTGAGTGGGCTGACAGGCTGGTAAGACGTAGTGAGCGGAGTGGAGATGAAGGAGTTGCAGTTCCACGTGCCCTTTGTTGTGTCCCCCCGTGCCTTGCAGGGAATGTAACCCACGAGGGACTTGGTGCTGATGGTGAAGAATTTGGGATTAGTGAAGCTTGGTGCAGTGGAGCCGGTTAAGCCCGCGATGCTGAAGACGAAGGACATAGTCTGGCGATTATCCGTGCTGCAAGGGGAGTGGACGAGAGAGGGGGGCGTGGAAGGGGTTAGGAGAGAAGGGTGGTTCAGGGGAGTGATGTTGGAGGTTGCGTGGGGCTAGGTTTTGCCCCCAACCACCGAACGGTGCTGCTTTTGCTTCTCACCTTCGAGTGAGCTGCAGGTTGGCGTGGGGCTGAAGATTGACTTCGGAAGACTCAACCAATTCGGTGCCACATGGCAGCACCAGAAAGTTCGAGACTTGAAGGAACATTCGGATGAGTGAAATTCGAGTGTCGAATTTCACCACTTCGAAATGTTACGAGAACATTCGCGAAGTGTAGCGATGCGATGTTACGAACGCGGTTCGATGTTGATTGCATGATATAAAACTAGTTGCTTTGTATGCATGTTTCATACTGAAAATCAGAGTTTTCTATACACGGTTCAACTCGACACAAAATCCAGAGACTTTCTATCCTTCAATCTTAGAGCACTACCTAACACGTTGAAAGCCGTATCTCAGCCGATACTTGGGCGAATTACGTGTTCTACGGCTCCTTGGAAAGCCAAGAGTGTGCTCTAGTGATTAGTACAAATCCCAGTTCCTGCAAAGTAGAGGAGAGTCCTTTACATCAAGTGAGACATGCGAGAGCATGATGAAAAATCCTGTCCTGCAAGAACAGTTATGCCAACTATCAGTTGCCGTTGTGCCGCTACAAGTACAGCAAACGCTGCTTCTACTGTGTAGCCTCTACTAAAGTTCTGAAGAGTAACTCGACAAGTGACATATGTGACGAAAAACAATCAGGGTGCTGTGGCGCTTACACATTAGCACGCAGGGAACACATGCCGTTCAAAGCACGAGGGGTCGAGACAAGTCCCCACGCTTCGTCTGCGAGACAAGGAAAGTATACCCACAAAATGATGTCGGTAGACCGGAAAGAAGGAACGGAAATCTGGCGGAGGCCAACGGAAACATGAGAGGAGATGCGAAGGACGCACGAGAGGAGCTGCGAAGGAAGCACGAGAGGAGATGCGAAGAAGCACGAGAGGAGATGCGAAGGAAGCACGAGAGGAGATGCGAAGGACGCACGAGAGGAGATGCGAAAGGAAGCACGAGAGGAGATGCGAAGAAGCACGAGAGGAGATGCGAAGGAAGCACGAGAGGAGATGCGAAGGACGCACGAGAGGAGATGCGAAGGACGCACGAGAGGAGATGCGAAAGGAAGCACGAGAGGAGATGCGAAGGACGCACGAGAGGAGATGCGAAGGACGCACGAGAGGAGATGCAAAGGACGCACGAGAGGAGATGCGAAGGACGCACGAGAGGAGATGCGAAGGACGCACGAGAGGAGATGCGAAGGAAGTACGAGAGGAGATGCGAAGGAAGCACGAGAGGAGATGCGAAGGACGCACGAGAGGAGATGCGAAGGACGCACGAGAGGAGATGCGAAGGACGCACGAGAGGAGATGCGAAGGAAGTACGAGAGGAGATGCGAAGGAAGCACGAGAGGAGATGCGAAGGACGCACGAGAGGAGATGCGAAGGAAGCACGAGAGGAGATGCGAAGGAAGCACGAGAGGAGATGCGAAGAAGCACGAGAGGAGATGCGAAGGAAGCACGAGAGGAGATGCGAAGGACGCACGAGAGGAGATGCGAAGGAAGCACGAGAGGAGATGCGAAGGAAGCACGAGAGGAGATGCAAAGGGAAGCACGAGAGGAGATGCAAAGGGAAGCACGAGAGGAGATGCAAAGGGAAGCACGAGAGGAGATGCAAAGGGACTCCATAGGAAGCGCGAGAACATAAGCGAAAGAAGCACAAGATCATCCAGTGATTGGACCATCGTCCTTCCAAACGTGTTGACAGGGCGACGTACAGCGTTTGTTATTGCTTTGGAGCAGATGACGGGGCCACGCGATGGCGCTGCAGGAGAGCGAGAGCAGCACTGCAGATACAAAAGGACGTGCGGGAAAGATTAGGGTTGAGTCGCTTGATGGCTTCAGCAAAAGTTCGAATATGTGAATATGTGAAAAGTTCAGTGAATATGTGAACACTTCAACGAAATCTTCCTCATCTCCGCAGAGCAGCCGAGCAGACTCAGCATGAAGAAAGGGGTTGCACCCTGTGAAAGGGAGGCAGCGACTGTCAAGCAAGACTGTCACAACCGAGGCCATATCATGTGCAGTCCCGCGAGTGGAGCTAGCGGATGCACTCCCGCCGGCGCGCGATGCACTTGCTCCGCGGAACGACCCGTGGGCGAGGCGACATATAACAGGGAGAGCGACGCGAAAGGCGACGGCGACATGACAGGGCGAGCAACGCGAAAGGCGACGGCGACATTTACAGGGCGAGCGACGCGAAAGGCGACGGCGACATGTCAGGGCGAGGGGCTGCGATATGGCAGGGCGACGTGACATGGCAGGGCGACATGTCAGCGCGAGGTGGGGAAGCGAGGCGACATGGCGGGCGCATACGAGCGGTGGGCTCACCGGCGACGGCGACGGCGAGGCGCTTAACGTCGAGCGACGGCGAGCGAGAGATTGACGTCATTTGCGCCATGGCTGGATGGAGCCGCGTGAAGCTCGGGGTTGCAAGTCGAGCTTGAGGCAATCCCGGGAACCGTGAAATGGATTGGATTATAATGAGTTCCTAAAGCTCGAGCTTGAGTCTGCGAATAGAGTGAAGACAGCAGACGCGTTTGATGCTCTTCTAGGGAACAGAGGGCTCAAGAGGGTCATACTGCGCCATGCGAGTGCCTTGCCTCCTCTCGCTTTCACTGCGGCATTCGCGATTTTCAGGTGCTCGAGGTCGTTTGCGCTGCATTTTGCGAAAGAAAATCTTTGAAATTCATCCAGCACAGCCTGTTTGCTTGCCAGACACTCTGTACAAGCCACGCGACGGAACACAAATCAGCGTTACAGCGCACAGCCCGAGCGACGGCGAAATTTCTGGCAGTGCCTGCCTGCGAGCCGCATCTGAAAACCTGCTGGGTACCTGGTGCTTTGATGCAGGGAGGTACCCGTGAGTCCCGCTGTGTGACTGTGGGATGTATTGTCGCCTGATGTCATGCAGGTTACCAGCGCAGAACCCGGAGGGTGCTGGAATTTTGTATTCACACTTCGCAACATTTTCCAGAGAAAATTTCGTTCATAAGATTGGGTTACTTGTAGACCATGAAAGCAGTTTCTCGTTTGTGCGGACCTGTGTAACGAGTATCTGACCCATCCTCTTGAAACTCAGTCAGCTCAACACTTCAGCTTAGGGCGGGTCCAACTCATCACACCTCACCTCAATTTAATTAAACCTTATTGTAGGGTAACCGCGTCAAATACTGAAATCAAACTGGAAGACGCGATCGGTTTCCCAACGTGCAAAACGAGTCCCGTGCCAGATCACATTTCTCACTCGTAAATTTTCCGAAATATTTGCAAACTGGGCAGCTCTGACATTCCGTCACTCGCTGCCTTCATGGTTACGACCTTAATATAACCTTAACCGTCACTCGCTGCCTCACGTGCCAGTAACATGTTCTTTTCGTCGATTTGAACGATTGGTTTCAAATACCCAAGTTACCCTCGCGACGATTTCTTTTTCGCGAAGCCAATGTGTTCTGTTCAATTCAGTTTCTGTGGGCGGGATGCTGGGTCCGCGTACACTCTCAAGGACGTGGAACGTATCTGGGTTCGGATTGACTGATCGTCACCCGAACAGTTGGGATTTCGTTACAGGGGTGTGAAACCGGCAAAATGAAGTGAGTATGACACGCCCTTAGAAACTGTCCGTAGGCTCGCAAGCTGTCTTGAAACCAGGTCTTGCAACCTGATTGTCCCGTCAGTCTTGCAAGATTGTCCAAGATTGCAAGATTTGTTTCGCACCTGCCATAGAACGGTTGCGCAGAGCATTATAAATCTTGTCGCGGCAGAAACGACTTCGCAAAGGGCAGCGGTATGTACGGGTCTCACGCCGAGCTCTTGCCCTCCTCAACCCCTATCCCTTCCGTGCAATTCGTTCACCGAGCAAGCAGATCGTGAATCACGTTCGTGGGCAAAGAAAGGAATCGCAAAATTCGTTTGCGAGCTCTTAGCGGGTGTTCTGTCATCAACACCGTGATTTCGCCCTGCTAGGAGATCTTCTTCATAAGGATTCTCAGGGTCCACGTTAGTCCGGGCAGCATGCAGCACGGGTTTCGGTTAGTCGGAGCCGCTCATGGGAGGCGAGAGTTCCACCGGGTTTGCCCCGCCCGTCTCCTTCCGGCACCCAACTCCCTCTTTGCCCCTGTCTCCTCCCTGCCTCTCTGTCTCCTCGGCTCGTAACTAACAAATCTGAGATCCCAGCATTCCAGTCTCAGAGTCCCCAAGTTTGCTTTCAGATTTTGCCACAAGCTCTAGTCCTTCTCTGCGATAAAAACTTTCCATCTTCTGTGCTTCGTTCGAGCTTCGACCGCACCACCTGTGGATAGCAGCCACCCTCGCGAGCAACACCGCATCTGCTGAGTATCCCTCGTTCGCAGATACGCTGAGTTTCTGGAAATCCCGCGCTGTAGTGAGGCGGACGGCAGTTCACAGGTCCGTCTGCACCCGCAGGGGACGAGCTCCCGCAGAATGAGGACGAGTAGATCAGCGGCTCTAGCAGCGATTTCGACGCTCCCTCCTCTGACAGCACCACTCTGATGGCTTCCAGCAGCTTGAATGACAGATGGAACGACGACGATAAGTTCAGCAGCGTTGTCAACAGCTTAGCTTCATCTGCAGCAATGGGCTCTTTTATTTCGCAACGACGAGCAGTGCCATCAGTTGTGAGAGCTCCGACGAGACGAGACCAGCAGCGTCAGTGCCGTCACCACTGACTGCAGCATCAATGACTCGGTTCCTTCCAGGAACCTGGGTGTGGACTTGACCTGCAGCCTGGGTTGCATCAGCGTCGCCAGCACCACCTGCAGCAGCAGCGATTCAAGTGGCGGCTTGAGCAGCAGCAGTGGCAGCTCTAACAGGGATAGCACCAAAAGCGTTGCCAGCAGCAACTGCAGCAGCGATTATCGAATCCCATCATTCATGCCTGCTGTGGAGGTTGCAGCTGTAACACAATTCGTGTCAGTGACAAGCCCTAAGGTGGTAACCCGGGTGCCTACTGCGGCTCTAAGGCTGCTTCCGTCACTCATTCCCAAGCCAAGAGCGGCAGTGAAGGCTGCTGCTGAAGCAAAGGCTGCTGCTGCAGTGGAGAAGACGAGGCGTGGAGATGTGGCAGTGGCTGTCCCACCCCAGCAGAAAGCTGTTGGGAGACGTGCAAGGCAGCAGCAGGGCAGGGAAGGTGGTGTGAGTCGCCCTTCGACGGCCAGGACGACCCTGGTTGCAGTGGCAAGACCTCCGTGGAGGCCAAGAGGGTTGGTGGATGGACAGCGGGGAGAAAGGCACAGAGCAGCAGGAGCAGGGAACAGGCAGGCAGCTGCATGATCTAGAGGGTGGGAGACAGTGGTGTGTGCTGGTGGATTTTCCTTTTATGTACCCCGCATGTCAAGGTGGTGTGGTGGGATGGCTGGTGGTGATGTCATCGTAGCTTCAGACTGCTCCATTCACTATGGTTGTGCCTGATTTCCGTGTACTATAATCTTTGTATGAACTTCAATATGGTGTATGCAGCGCATTGATGAAACGCAATGGCTTACATGCCTCACCATGTCATCCACCCTTCTTATGGTTACCTGTTCCTCCAGTGCACCCAAACGCTACCCTTCTCCCTCTCCTTTCCATCCTCCCCTCCATTCTCTCCATCCTTACCCCCTCAGCCCCCTCTCCCACCTCTCACCCCTCTTCCTTTCCATCCTACCGTTTCCTTCCCTCTCCCCACCCCGCAGTTTCAGTGGAGAGCATGGGAGCACTGCCGTCCAACATGCTCTTCACAGAGGCAGTCAAGCTGCTAGACTGCTGCCCCCTCCTCTCCCTCTCCCTTTGCCTCATCCCTCCCCCACCCCCCCTTCACCTCTCTGCCCCCCCACAGTCTCAGTGGAGAGCACGCCTGGGTCGCTGCTACATCTGATTCAATGGAGCTGCTGCATCAGCCCAAAGAGTTGGACGGATACATTGAATGTGGTTGGGATGGGATGATGTAACAGAGTGACGGTACCAGTTGTATGAAGAGGTTCTGTCTCATGTTATGAGAACTCTTACCAGTTATCCTGTAAAGCTTTTCTGGCAAAGCTTACCGTTTCCAAGTGCGTGTACACAACACGCGCAACCACTCATCATTCTCAACTCTGAAACCTGTGGACCTTGGGATGTTTTATTGAAAATATGACATTGCAAGGAAACAGAGAGCACGCAGCTGCATCACTGGCCACTGAAATGGTGAGGGACCATTGCCAGCATCTCATTGCATCGCATCGCATCGCATCGCATCTCATCTCATCTCATCGCATAGCATCTCATCACCGTGGATTCTATGATGACCATGGACCCGCCTGCATCAGGGCTGCCCAGGCTTTTATTCGTTGCCTTGCACGCCAGGCCATTATGCCACGGTAGCTGCTTTATTCGCAAGCACTCTGCGTGCGCCACACCTCGTTACAGAGCATCCCGTTACTAGCAGCAACCATCGCGCCTCGCGTGCAAGCCCATCTCGCCACAACGTCTAGAAGTTTTTGCTGCTCTTGTAGATCTCCCCGCCGCGCCACTTGCTCGGGATCACGCCGTCCAGCACCACCTGCTTCCCGCTGCCCGACACGCGCACGCTCACCGCGCGCCCCGCATCCACGACGCCCGTGGCGGGATTCAGCACCCACGTCGCGCCCCATCCGTTGTTCGTCAGGCTCTTCCAGTCGCTGCCGTCCTTCGATATCTCCACCTTCTCCACTCGTCCGCGCCTCGCCGCCCCGAAAATCTGAAGAGCAAAATTGTATTTGCTGGCATCGGGCAGGAGTCGCACCGCCATTCCGCCGCTGCTAGAGCAATCCACGGGATCGTACGTAACCTCCACTTGCCCGCCCTGCCCGCCCACGAGTTTGTTCCACGCGGGAGTATCGAGGTTGAAGCTATCCCAGCCCGTCTGCCCGATGGCTCGCACCTTCACGGAGCCACCCTTGCATGCGCGGCCCGTGCAGGAAACTTCGTAGCACGTTCCGCAGCCCTTGCTGTTGTCGAACTTGCTCGCAGGCACCTGCGCAACCATGCCGAAGTACTGACTATCACGGAAGCGACCTTGGAAGTCGCGGTAGCACGTGCCTTCGCCGCTCAGGTCGGCGGAGTTAGCCTGAACGGCGTCGGCAGGAGTGAGGGCGAAAGCGAGCAGGGCGATTCCGACGCACAGCAGGCTGGCGACCTTGGAAACGCGAGCCATCGGGAAAAAGAGCAGCTCGAAAACCGTTGGAAAAAGCGAGCTTGAATATGAGACAACGGATGCTTATAGGGCAGTGGTTGATTTCGATGATAATAGGGTGAAGAAGCAGGATATTTATATAGTTCCATGAGTGGGAGAGTTTCAGAAGCTGCGACTTGGTGGGTTCAGCGCGAAGTGCGGCTTCGAGTCGCCATGTCGATTTCCTCCCCTTGCTAGTAATGGGCCAGTGCTGCGGAATGGCAATAATTTCGAACTCCCCACGAGCTGACCGCGTGGCGACGGTAACGAAGTTGGACTGCCAGTTGCTGAGGACATTTGTAATGCTTGTGTTACTACCTGCGAAATTCAGCTGTGGTTGTGACTCGTCAAATATGCAAAGTTACCAGAATTCGAATTTCGTGCAATCTGAAATCTGGCATCTGTTTCATCCGCCTTACAGCCAATGAGGAATGTTGCGAAGCTCCAATAATTGTCGAGCCTCTTGCCTCACCAGGCGAAACAACTTCCCTTCTCGAAACCTATCGTCGAGCCGCCCGCCAACCAAACCTTTGACCTCATCTTACAATTGAGAAAGCTTGCTTTCTGGTTATTGCAAGGCAACGTGCTTCATTTTAATTGTGTAATTACAACATTCTCGTCCAACTTAAACATTACACACAGATAAACTAGGGGCGGGCGGGGGGGAAGCGGAACTGAAAAGTTCCGAAATGAAGACGTGGGTGGAGGCCAAATGGCCTCCAACACTCGTTATGTACTCGGGAACAAGCATTCGCACTTGCCTTGCTTCACTACAGTCAGCTTCGCTTTCACAATCTTTATTTTTAGAAAGTGTTTCACACTTTCAAAAAAAATCATATTGAGAAAGCTTGCTTTCTGGTTATTGCAAGGCAACGTGCTTCATTTTAATTGGGTCTTCTGAGACATGTGCGTGTGTTGGCAAAGTGTGGATCGCGGAGCCGGTTGATGGAGACGTCTAGTGACATCGATTGTTGGTGTTGGTCGTTGCATTCTATGTCGACGTGGTTATGCGAGTTGCTCCCTCCTTGTACCGATCGTTTGTTGGTGGAGTGGGGGACCATGGCTTGGAGTGATTGTTGTACATTCATGCGCGGTGGCGAAGATGGTTGTGAAAGACGACCCATGCGTTAGTGATGAGGCTCCATGTGTTTGCGGAGAGGCTGATGCCGCGATGTTGATGTTGTTTGGTGAATGACGGGGTGTAGGGTCTTGGACTAGTGACGTGTTGGCAAGAGTGGATGCTTGAATTTGAAACTGGAGATTACGTACCAAGCATGGGGGAAGGAATGTCGTTTGGCTACGTTAGTAGTTGATGCTTTGGTGGTGGGTCTGATGAATGTTGCATTGCCATAGCCTGTCTGGCAGCGTGCATTATGACCGTGTGCGAATGAAGGCACGACGAATAATGGAATAACGAGGAATAAAGTAAACGTTATCGTAATGCATGACTTTTCATATGTGCGATTGGCCCTGGGTACGAAATTTTTGATTGAGAAACTAAGGGGCCCCGAATGATGTGTAGTCGTAGTGTAGCGGCTGATATTGAAATATGATGCCTACAGGGCCGGTACGGTATGCATCGTCCATAAGGATAAGGATAATGTCACATAATAAAACCTCAATCCATGCGTTACTGGCCCATCAGTTGTTCGACTCCTGACCCATCTGTTGTTTGTCTTTTGGCCCATCAGTTGCTCGTCTCTTGGCCCATCGGTTGCTCGTCGCGTGGCCCATAAGGTGCTCGTCTCGTGGCCCACCAGTTGCTCGTCTCATGGCCCGTCGGCTGCGCATCTCGTGGCCCATCGGCTGCTCATCTCGTGGCCCATCATTTGCTTGTCCATTAATCCATCAATTGCTCGTCTCTTGGTCCATCGATTGCGCGTCTCGTGGCCTATCGGTTGCTCATCCTTTGGCCCATCTGTTGCTCGTCTCTTGGTTGCTCGTCCCTTCGCCCGTCGAGTGCTCGCCGCTTGGCCCGTGGTTGCTCATCTCATGGCCTGTCGGTCGCTCATCTCTTGGCCGGTCGGTTGCTCATCCCTTAGGTCGGTTGCTCATTGCTTGGCCCGTTGGTTGGTCCTCGCTTGGCCGCCAGTTGCTCATCGCTTGGCCCATCGGCTGCTCATTTCTTGGCCCATCGGTTGCTCATCTCTTAGCCTGTCGGTTGCTCATCTCCTAGCCCACCAGTTGCTAATTTATTTGCCCTTCGGTTGCTCCTCTTTTAACCTATCAGTTGCTCCTCTCTTAGCCAATCGATTGCTCATCGCTTGGCCCGTCGGTTGCTCGTTTCTTGGCTCGTCAGTTGTTCATCTCTTGGTCGGTTTATTGTTCGTCCCTTGGCCCATCAATTGCTCACCGCTTGGCCTGTCGGTTGCTCATCTCTTGGCTCGTCAGTTATTCATCTCTTGGCCGGACTATTGTTCGTCCCTTGGCCTATCGGTTGCTCGTCGCTTGGCCCGTCAGTTGCTCATCGCTTGGCCGATCGGTTGCTCATCTCTTGGCCCATCGGTTGCTCATCTCTAACTGATGCCGTATTATGACGACCAGCAAGGAAAAACAACAAGATTTACATTGGCTACCCTGCCACACCAAATACTGTAGCTCCATTCAACACAAGTATTGTTGACGCGCGAACAATTACCGATAATGGAATGCGAGGTACATTGAAATTCGGTAGTTGTTTTACTTTCCCATATGTGTATCTTGTCCGGTGTGACAAAACAAGATAGTAGGAACGAATAATGGGTGAAATACACTCCCTCCTCCCCCCTCATTTGGGAATGTCCAGCATGGGGGAGTGATAGAACCGGATCCAATACCGTAACCGTCATTGCTACCAAGAGTTTCACTATACCAATCTTACCAAGCTGAATCACAGTACGTGTCTCCAACATCCTGTTGAGGCAAGAAAAGTTTTTTTTTTTTCCACTTTATCCATATAAACACAATCGCCAATGATACATACATATCAACAAACACAGCACATAATTGGGGTTTTAAGCATCTCAGCTTTGGTCTGCACATACCCCCCTCTCTAAAGAAAAGGTGGCTCTCTGGCCCGCGTACCTTCGTAGGTACCTACACGACGCTCGGTCCCCTTCCCCCCCTGGGGGCGGCTATTATGCCAACTCGGGGACCCTCGGTCCCCTTCCCCCCCTGGGGGGCGGCTCTCAGGCCAACTCGGGGACCCTCGGTCCCCTTCCCCCCCTGGGGGGGCGGCTCTCAGGCCAACTCGGGGACCCTCGGTCCCCTTCCCCCCCTGGGGGGCGGCTCTCAGGCCAACTCGGGGACCCTCGGTCCCCTTCCCCCCCCTGGGGGGCGGCTCTCAGGCCAACTCGGGGACCCTCGGTCCCTTTCCCCCCCCCTGGGGGCGGCTCTCGGTCCCCTCGTTTCGATGTGCGTGCAGTTGATCCCGTCGTCATTGCAAATTGTCCGCGCGACGAGAAGAGTCCGACCTTAATCAACGGCTTTTGATCTTGTGCCCGTTTTGCTGCCATGAGGGAGTATCGAGATTGATAGGCAAGGAAAGAAGAAATTAAAATCGGAAGAATACCGTAGAAAGAAAATGAAAAAGAACTTGCAACAAATGATATGCAGCTAAACAATTGGTAAGGTGACGTGGGGTGCTGCACTGGTGCTTAACGCCCAGTAAAAAACGCCTTAGGCGCGGCAGTAGCAGTTTCTTGACTGCCGCGCCACAGGCCATTTCGTCCGTGGCGATTTCGCCACACACGTGCGCCAGTGGCGCAAGTGGCGATTTCGCCACACACGCGCGCCAGTGGCGCAAGTGGCGATTTCGCCACACACGCGCGCCACTGGCGCAATTGGCGATTTCGTCAGACACGCGCGCCAGTGGCGCAAGTGGCGATTTCGTCAAAGCTCACGCCACTGGCGCACGTGGCAATTTCGTCACTGATGCGCCAGTGGTCGTTGCTTCATGCGCAGCTCTTTCTCGATTGCGCACACGCCAAGTGCATCACAGGCGCGATGCTGTACCCTCCGTAGTTATTATCGCGCGTAGCGGCTAGTAGTTACGTTGCTGCTGCAGCACTTGTCCTAGCGTTGACTCCGTACTAAAATTGAGTGAGAATTAGGAATGAGTGAGAGAACAGAGGTGGTTCGACGAGAATGAAGCGGAACTGAGAAGTTCCGAAATGAAGACGTGGGTGGAGGCCAAATGCCTCGTTATGTACTCGGGAACAAGCATTCGCACTTGCCTTGCTTCACTACAGTCAGCTTCGCTTTCACAATCTTTATTTTTAGAAAGTGTTTCACACTTTCAAAAAATTTCATATATCCAAATTCGTTACTGTCGCCACGAGGTCGTTTCGCGAAGAGCTCAAAATTATTGCCATTCCTCAGCATTCCTCAGCGCCGGCCCAAGGAAATCAACATGGCGACTCGATGCCGCACTTTGCGCTGAACCCCCCCAAGTCTCAACCAACTGCCTAATCTCTACCACTCACGCAGCTATATAAATTTCCTGCTTCTTCACCCGATCATCATCGAAATCGACCACTGCCCTCCAAGCATCCTCTGTCTGATATTCAAGCTCGCTTTTACCAACTTAGGTTTCCGCGCTGCTCCTTTCCCGATGGCTCGCGTTTCCAAGGTCGCCAGCCTGCTGTGCGTCGGAATCGTCCTGCTCGCTTTCGCCCTCACTCCTGCCGACGCCGTTCAGGCTAACTCCGCCGACCTGAGCGGCGAAGGCACGTGCTACCGCGACTTCCAAGGTCGCTTCCGTGATAGTCAGTACTTCGGCATGGTTGCGCAGGTGCCTGCGAGCAAGTTCGACAACAGCAAGGGATGCGGAACGTGCTACGAAGTTTCCTGCACAGGCCGCGCATGCAAGGGCGGCTCCGTGAAAGTGCGAGCGATCGGGCAGGCCGGTGAGAACTTCAACCTCGACACTCCCGCGTGGAACAAACTCGTGGGCGGCCAGGGCGGGCAAGTGGAGGTCACGTACGATCAGGTGGATTGCTCTAGCAGCGGCGGAATGGCGGTCCGACTCCTGCCCGATGCCAGCCAGTACAATTTCGCGCTTCAGATTTTTGGAGCGGCGAGGCGCGGACGAGTGGAGAAGGTGGAGATATCGAAGGACGGGAAAGAGTGGAAGAGCATGACGAACAACGGATGGGGCGCGACGTGGGTGCTGAATCCCGCCACGGGCGTCGTGGATGCGGGGCGCGCGGTGAGCGTGCGCGTGTCGGGCAGCGGGAAGCAGGTGGTGCTGCAAGACGTGATCCCGAGCAAGTGGAGCGGCGGAAAAATCTACGGGAGCAGCACCAACTTCTAGAAGTTGATGCCAGATGGGGTGTACACGACGCGTGATAATTGCTGCTAGTTATGAGATGCGCTGCAACGCACGAGAGTGCTTGCCAATAATGCAGCTTCCGTCCGTGGCATGGTGCTGCAAGGCAGCGAATAACAGCTCGGCGAGCCTTGATGCTTGCGGATGAGCATAATGAGGCCTCGTGACTATCCGATGCGATATGATGCAATGCTAGTGGTAAAAACCTTCGCTTTTATGAACAAGCAAAAATTCGCATCACACAAACTCTTGTGCCAAGAAAAGGTAAGGGACGTGTACCTATAGCCATCAGTAGTGGCCAGGCCATCCAGCCTCTTATTGGCTGCACTGCACTGCGCAACAAGCACAAACTAAACGCCACTAACAGTGCATTGCATTGATGAACTGTAGCGACATCAAACATCTGGTTCTGTTCCATAGCCCTACAGTAGCGTCCTACCCCATTCAACGCAGCAGTCCCATCGAATCAGCTGTAGCAGAAGCTCAGTCATATTGAACGTAGCAGTAGTTGCGGTGAGGCAGATGCAGCAGCAGCAGCACAGGAGTATCGAATCAGATCAGAGGCGGTCGGCCTCAGTGGCGAGGCACCTTGCCTTGCTCTCCAGCAGCTTGACTGCCTCCGTGAAGACTTTTGCGGCGCCTCAGAAGCGACAATCCAGGAGCACAGGATGAATCAGAGGCGGCTGGTCTTGGTGGCAGTCAGAGGCGGTCAGTCTCAGTGGCAAGGCGCCTGGCCTTGCTCTCCAGCAGCTTGACTGCCTCCGTGAAGAGCACGTTGGGGGGCAGTGCTCCCGTGCTCTCCACTGAGACTGTGGTGTGTGGTGAATGGAAGGTGGGAGGAGTGGGAGGGGGGGGGGAAACGGAGAAAAGAGAGAATAGGAGAGGTTGGGATTCCCTCCAGCAGCTTGAATGTGTCTATAAATAGCACGTTGGGCGGTAGTGCTCCCGTGCTCTCCACTGAGACTGCGGTGTTGCAGTGGGGGGATATGGTGGGTGGGAGAGAGAGGAGAGGAGGGAGAGGAGGGAGAGGAGGGAGAGGAGGGAGAGGAGGGAGAGGAGGGTGTGGAGGGAGAGGAGAAAGGTGGAGGGAGGAACGGTAGTGCTCAAGTAATCACACTGACCATAAGAAGGAGAAGGGGTGGTTGACATGGTAAGGCATGGTGAGGGATGGTGAGACATGCTGAGGCATGGAGAGGAGACAGGAGATGGGGAGAGGGCTGAACAAAATAGCCGAATTTGGCGTGCCGTGGCGCGGCACACAATCGCATAAGGTTGTTTTGTTCAATGGCTGTATGTGTTGGCACGATGGACGGAAAAACGACATGTCAGAGACAGGTGTTGAGAAGAAACAGTGCCAGTTGAAGGGATAGAAATATGACACAGAAAAAAGAGTTGTAGTACGACAACATTGACAGGAAGGGTGTTTTTGAGACGTCTCAAAAACACCCTCTCTACACAGAGTTGTAGTATGACAACATTGACAGAAACAATGCAAGGGAAGAGCAACGGTGGTCTCACAAATGAAGTGGTCCCGTTTCCTTCTGAGCTGAATGTAGTCGCCCCACCCCTCCTCCCTGATGCACTCCCGACACACCGTGCAGTTGCGCGCACGCGGGGCTGTTGCCCTCTGGATGCCTGCATGAGTGGCAATAGGCCGGGGCAATAGAGCGGCGCAATAGAGCGGGGCAATAGAGCGGGGCAAGGGGGAGCATAATCATCATGATTGTCTTGCATAGTCTGCCACATATACCGTTCTCCATAAATCGTGCTCTTCAAATACCATACCCAGTGCATGTTGCATGCACCATCCGCTTTTTCCAGGGAGATCCATGATGCACTCATGCTGCCATACCACTCCCCATGTATTCAATGTCAACAAACACGTTCATCAAGCACTGTGCTCATGCACCCATTTACACATGGATACACTGCCCCATCGCATCATGCATACACTGCCCCATCGCATCACGCATACACTGCCCCATCGCATCATGCATACACTGCCCCATTGCATCATGCATACACTGCCCCATCACATCATGCATACACTGCCCCATTGCATCATGCATACACTGCCCCATCGCATCATGCATACATAAAACCCCCATACTCACCGTTGCCCATGTCCTCGATATCAAACACGTTCATGGGGCACTTTGCCACTAGCTGCTCCGCCATCTGCCCCTCCACTGCCTTGCGGAACACCACCTGCCAGGGGGAAGGGGGAAGGGCAGGGGGAGGGACAGGGGGAGGGAAAGGGGGAGGGACAGGGGGAGGAACAGGGGGAGGGACAGGGGGAGGGACAGGGGGAGGGAAAGGGGGAGGGACAGGGGGAGGGAAAGCGGGAGGGAAAGGGGGAGGGACAGGGGGAGGGACAGGGGGAGGGACAGGGGGAGGGACAGGGGGAGGGACAGGGGGAGGGACAGGGGGAGGGACAGAGGGAGGGACAGGGGGAGGGACAGGGGGAGGGACAGGGGGAGGGACAGGGGGAGGGACAGGGGGAGGGACAGGGGGAGACAGTGTGAGAGTGCAAGCAGGGGACTAGTGATGCCTGCCCCTCTACTGCCTTGCGCAACACCACCTGGGATGGTTGAGGGAACGGGGCAGGGGGAGAATGTAGGAAATGCGGGGGGTTGGAGTGGGAAAGTGGGAAAGTGGGATTGGAGGGGCAGTGTGCGAGTGTGAGCAGTGTGCAAGAGGTCTTTCCTGCCATCTGCCCCTCCACTGCCTTGCGCAAAACCAACTGCCATGGGAAGAGTGAGAGGGGGAGGGCGGGAAAGCCGATAGGTTATCCTTGGTTCCATGCATCCGCCCTTTCTTTGGCCTGCCAAGAAACGTGTGTGCGATTTTTGAGACGTCTCAAGAAACGTGTGTGCGATAACAGCCAGGCGCGTGTGTGTGAGTGACTGAGTGAGTAAGAGTGAGTGAGACGAGCGTGAGTATGAGTGAAGGATGGGGTAGAACAGAGGCAAGGACTCACCTCTGGCAGCATGCGGTGGGACTCACCTCTGGCAGCATGCGGTGGGACTCACCTCTGGCAGCATGCGGTGGGACTCACCTCTGGCAGCATGCGGTAGGACTCACCTCTGGCAGCATGCGGTAGGAGGCAGTGGCAACAGGTGACCACTTGGCGTGCGTGCGGCCGATGCCCTTCACTGCATGCGCCTCCAATTCGATGGCCTGGCGAGTTGGCAAACACAAGGGAAGAAGTTGAACGTGAAAAATAACGCGGCTTCATCTGCCGCACTTAATGCTACCTACCTCCTCCCACTCCACTGCCATTCCCTTCACTGCATTCGCTTCCATAATCAATTTCCTGGCTCTGATGGGTGGACGAACGCTCACATACCTGTTGATGGGTGGACGAACGCTCACATACCTGTTGATGGGTGGACGAACGCTCACATACCTGTTGATGGGTGGACGAACGCTCACATACCTGTTGATGGGTGGACGAACGCTCACATACCTGTTGATGGGTGGACGAACGCTCACATACCTGTTGATGGGTGGACGAACGCTCACATACCTGTTGATGGGTGGACGAACGCTCACATACCTGTTGATGGGTGGACGAACGCTCACATACCTGTTGATGGGTGGACGAACGCTCACATACCTGTTGATGGGTGGACGAACGCTCACATACCTGTTGATGGGTGGACGAACGCTCACATACCTGTTGATGGGTGGACGAACGCTCACATACCTGTTGATGGGTGGACGAACGCTCACATACCTGTTGATGGGTGGACGAACGCTCACATACCTGTTGATGGGTGGACGAACGCTCACATACCTGTTGATGGGTGGACGAACGCTCACATACCTGTTGATGGGTGGACGAACGCTCACATACCTGTTGATGGGTGGACGAACGCTCACATACCTGTTGATGGGTGGACGAACGCTCACATACCTGTTGATGGGTGGACGAACGCTCACATACCTGTTGATGGGTGGACGAACGCTCACATACCTGTTGATGGGTGGACGAACGCCCACATACCTGTTGATGGGTGGACGAACGCTCACATACCTGTTGATGGGTGGACGAACGCTCACATACCTGTTGATGGGTGGACGAACGCTCACATACCTGTTGATGGGTGGACGAACGCTCACATACCTGTTGATGGGTGGACGAACGCTCACATACCTGTTGATGGGTGGACGAACGCTCACATACCTGTTGATGGGTGGACGAACGCTCACATACCTGTTGACTGCACTGCACTATCAATCACTACCACACACCTGCTTTTGAGTCGACTCACAAGCAGACTCATTACACGCGGTTCATCTGTTGCATGCACTGCTCTGCACTATCAATCACTACCACAAACCTGCCATACACACCGCACACTGTCCCACACACCTGCCGTACACACCGCACACTGTCCCACACACCTGCCGTACACACCGCACACTGTCCCACACACCTGCCGTACACACCGCACACTGTCCCACACACCTGCCGTACACACCGCACACTGTCCCACACACCTGCCGTACACACCGCACACTGTCCCACACACCTGCCGTACACACCGCCCACTGTCCCACACACCTGCCCGGGTCGCAGCCTGGCAAGGGTGATGTCGGGGTAGGTGGGGGCGGGGGGGCGAGTGGCGAAGTCATGCAGCTCGCTCTGCGGGCGGCCAAAGGAGGTGAACTTGGTGGGGCGGTCGGGCGGGTAGGTGCTGCCGTTGGGCTGCCACACCAGATGCTTTGACTGCACCGTGCCTGCATGTGGTGGGGTAGGTGGAGCGGAGGAGGGGAAGGGGGGAGGGGAACAAAGGGTGATTGGGCAAGCAAGGGAAGTCGGATAGGTGCTGCCGTGGGGATGCCACACCAGATGCCTCCACTGCACCGTGCCTGGGGTTGCACAGGAGGAGGTTGCAGAGGGAGAAGTGAGGGAGTGAGGGAGCAGTGACTGCGCAAACTGCGCCCTTTACTGCGCCGTGCACGGAGCAGTAAAGGGCGCTGAGCCATGTAGGCCGAGGCTGCTGCACCACATGCCTCCTCGACTGCACCATCTTTGCAATGCGATAGAGGGGAGGAGGATGTAAGGAAGGGAGAAGGGAGATAAGACAAGCAATGGATGGATGGAGCGAGGTGGAAGGGGAGGAAGCTAAGACTCTTGCAATGCCAGTACAGGAAGCCGCAAGGAAGGGCCAGGCAGAGCATGGCATACCGTGCATGCTGTGTGTGCAGGGGAAGGCAGGGCATGGCAGCGCGCCACCGTACCGTGTCTGGAGCCGTCAGCAGGCGGGTTGCGTGTGCACTTGTAGTCGAGCTTGAAGACGATGGTGTTGCTCTCACTCGCCATGCCGTCCTCTGTGTCCCCATGCCATGCCATGGCACCGTGTGATGCGATCGGGGGGTGCGATGCCAGAAAAGGTGGTACAAAGGAAGGGTGGGGTAAAAACACGGTGAGGAACCTTCAAATACAGTATGGAGAACTATGCAGAAAGAAGAACACGGCAATAAGCATGGAGCAAGAAGAACAAGGTGTTCCTGGGAGCACAGCAGAAGGCCTTCACAGCCTCAGAATCACCTGACCGTGCACCTGGGAATCACCTGAGCGTCCACCTGGGGATCAGAAAAGCGCCCACCTGGGGACCACCTGAGCGGCCACCTGAGAATCACCTGAGGGGAAGTCGAAGAGGCGGGGGTCGACAGCGATGGGCACGAGGCCGAGGCGATGCGAGAGCACCTCGTCCTGCACTAGAGAGGTGTTGTTGGCCATGAACACCTTCTCTATCGCCATCGTTGGTACCTGCATGAGGGGGGGAGGGAAGGCAAGAGGGAGAACAGGGCAATGAGGGAGTAAGACCGACACACACGAGACAACCTCGTCCTGCACTAGCGACGAGTTGTTGGCCATCAACACCTTCTCTATCGCCATCGTTGGTACCTGGACGGTTGAACAAGAGGGGGAGGTAGAGGAAAGGGAGGGGGTGGGATGGGACGAGCACCACACAACGATCAGCGATCAGCGTGCTGACCTCAGCAACGCGCATGCTGACCTCAGCAACGAGAGTGCTGATCTCAGCAATGAGCATGCTGACCTCAGCAACGAGCGTGCTGACCTCAGCGATGAGTATCCGACGGAAGGCGTTGGCGAGAGCAGCGTCGATGCCGACGAGGTCGAAGACAAGATCGTGGCCGTCCGCTGACTGCGACACGATCTCCACCGCCAATTCCCGTCTGAAGCGCTCCAGAGTCATGCTGTTGTCCACTCCCAGCGCGGCGAAGGCGCCTGAATACTGCAGCGCGTGAGTCTGCAGCAGTGGGGAGGGGGGGGGCGAAGGGGGGAAGAAGGTGGTAAGGAATGACGCTGGAATGGGGGAAACGCCCCACTTTGCGTCGCTGCAGCCTGCAGGATCATGCAGTCATACTGTTGTCCACCCCCAGCCCAGCGCGTCAAACACACCCGAATACTGCAACGCGCGGATTCATTGGGGGAAGGAGGAAAAGGTGGCGGGGGGAACGGAGAGTGTGGGGGGATGGGGGAAGAAAGAGGGGAAGGAGAAGCAAAGCGGATTAACCGTCAGCGTGCAGCCCCCAGGCTTATGCTGTTGTCCGCTCCACTCCCAGGGGATCGAACGCACCTAAATACTGCAGAGCGTGAGCTTGTGTTGGGGGTGAACGGGAGGTTGAATGGGGAGAGTTAGAGTGGAGGAGACGGGAAGTGCATTCGCCTTTCTACACCCATCTGAACCGCTGCAGCCTGCAAGCGCTGTGCTGTCGCCTCCATCAGAAAAGCAAACACGCCAGATCAGAACTGTGCATGCAAAAGGGCGAGGGGGAAGGGGTGACGAATAAAGGGAAGGGAGAAAGGTGGAGAAGGAGAAACAGGAGGACGAAAGGAGGAAGAGGAAAGGCGGAGCGGGACGGAGGGTCATGAAAGGGGAGGCGGAAAAGGGAGGCGGAAAGGGGACGCGGAAAAGGGAGGGGGGGAAAGGAGGGGCCAGCATCAGCACCAGCATCCACGGTGCCATCTCGCCTGCACCGCACGTGCCACGCCCTAGCCGTGGCTCTCCAGCCACCCCTCTGCGCCATATCTGCTCGCCGATGTGCCAGGACCCTAACCACTTGCCAGAAACGTAAACCCGGAACCCTGACCAGGGCACAAACCCTGAACCCTCGGAATCTGCTCGGGAACCCTCAACATTGCCTAGAAATACCAATAACCTGTGAACCTCTTCCAATCCGTCTAAGCCGTTTAACCGTCTAAACCCTCGATCGTGGCAAGCCATTTCCCCGTTTCTCGCCAACGCCCTTCCCAACGGTCGTTCTGCCTCACGCGCGCTTCTCTTCCTCTTACGCGCAACCACTGCACCTTCCGCGCAACTCTTCCCCCCTCGTCCCCGCCCATCAACCCTCCGCCGTGCACCTGTTTCGGCGCGTCCATGTCGCAGATCACGCGCGAGCGCAGCTCCTCCAGGTGCGGCGGAAGGCTTCCGCTCCCCCCTTCCCCCTGCTGCGCCTTCTTCTTCTTCTTCCCCTTCCGCGCCTCCTGCGCGCCGCTCCCAGCGCCCGCGCTGCTCGTTTCCATCGGCTCCGCTGCGGGCGCGTCGACGTCCTTCCCCGGCATCGCTCCGCTTGTGCGCGCAAGGGGGAAACGGGGGGGAGAAGACTGCGGCGGGGAAAATACGCGGAGAGGAACTAGCGACAGAGAAAGCCTGCGTGGAGACGGGAGGCGGAAAGGTTGCAGGTGGTGGCGGAGGATACCGGCGCTCGGAGCGGACCCGCTAGAACCGTCTTGGAGGAAATGCGTTGCTTGAAAATGATATTTCGTATACTTGTGAAGCTTCAGAAACGATGGAGATGTAACGGCGTGAGTCCCGCTAGTGCTCGGGCAATGGAAAAAATAAGATTCCCACTAAAAGAGTCGTGAAAACAAGGTGTGGAAACAAGGCAACGAGCTTGAAGAGTTCGCGCTCGAATGCAGCAAGGACAGGTTAGGGTTACCATCTATCTCGCTGAATCGCGAACCCGTGCCGCCGTGTGGTTTGTGTATCGAGTGAGGCTCGAATGGAATTTGAACCCGCCAGACTTTCGCCGAACCAGAAATTGTTCAGATTTCAGGCTGCGATTGCCCTTCGAGTTTCCGAACCTCTCAAAGCGGTACAGTATCGAATGCTGCGAAACGACTAGTCGCACTGGCGAACCTGACGTACACGTTACCATACAACTAACCGACCCCAACATGCTGTTGCCGGCTTCATTTCGCAGAAGTGAAATTGAATTGAGCAAGTGGAGCGGCTGCGATCGAGACACGGCGGGAAAAACGCTCTGGCTGCTGATATTATCATAACAGCGGAAGGTCATGGAAACCCCGAAACGCTAGTAGTAGGGCAATTCGCTGTCGGACTCGTAGTTACTATGGTGGTTCCATTTAGATGCTCGAATAGAACCCCACGGAGTCGCGCCGAGTAGAATCTGCTGCTGTGATTCGGCACCCGACGGCTGTAGTTTGAGACTCGCACAGTCGCAACAATCACCTCAGTCGCCAACGACTGTTACAGTCGCGAACAGTCGTCAACAATCGCCAGCAGTCGCGAGTGGTTCTTATGGCGGCCAATTTCTGGCAGTCCTCTCACAGGTGCGGCGTTGCGACGTCCGTGCGACATCGCAGCACGACTTCGGATAGTTATCTCTCTTTCACTCTCTCTCCCGCACCCCTTTTTCTCCTCCCCACCCCCCACCCACCGTAAACTGCACGCGCCTGCTGCAGCCTGCGCTGCTGGCTCCCCTGCTCCTTCCCGCGAACCTTCCTTCGCCCTCATTTCCTGTCCGACTCTCACGCTTTCCCCGTTTTCCTCCCCACCCAACTCTTTGCCCCTCTCCCCACCACTTCCCCTTTCTCGCCTCACCCTTGTCCCTTCCAACCCCACACCTCCCCCCCCCCCGGCCCGCGGCTGCTCATTCGCATTCCCCCCTCCCTGTCCCCCCTTCCCCTTCCCCTCCCCCAATCCCCCCCAGCAAGCAGCTACTGGACCCAGGCGCAGTGGCGCGCTTGCTGCATGCGGAGGACGACCGTATGGGCCTCTCGCCCTCTGACGTGCGCCTGGTCAAGCTGCACATGTGTGACCGTACGTCTGTAATATCACATGCACATGCGTGCATGCTTCCGAACAAACATGCGTTTCTGATGATTTCTTGCGTCCATCTCACTCCAGCTGTTCTTCCTTCCTTCGTTCCTTCCATTCCTCTCCCTTCCCTCCCCCCCCATCCGCTTTCGCCGTTCGTCGCCGTTCGTCTGTGCCTCTCTCATTGACAGACCTGGCAGTCTTGGCTCACCGCCTCAACCTCCGCCAGAGGCAAGCACACCACCTCTCACCACCACCTTGCACCGCCTCACGCCGTATCGCTCACAGTTTCCCTGCATTGTTCCTGCGTTCACTGTGTCTTGTGCCAGTCCATGGGGGAGAGTGTGGGGGACCGTGTACCACTGTCTCATGCTGTCACCATCGCCCACCCTCACACCTCTCGACCTCCCGCAATCGCCCATCCCCACCTCACGCCCTGCTCACCTCACGTCGTGCCTTCTCTTTTTGCGTGGCAGGGTTGTGGCCACCGCCATTGCCTACTTCCGCCGCGTCTATGTCAAGTGAGTGGCAAGCCGTGTGCAGGGCGCAATGAGTGATGGGATGTTGGGAAGGTGATGGTGGGATGGGACAAGGGGACCATGTGTGGCCGGGTCGTGACCACTGCCATTGCCTGCTTCCGCCGCGTCTACGTCAAGTGAGTGGCGAGCCGTGCACCGGTTGCGCTGAGTGATGAGATGGTGGGGTGATGGGATGATGATGGAGCGTGTGTTTTTTGAGAAGGTGATGGGATGATGATGGAGCGTGTGTTTTTTGAGAAGGTGATGGGATGATGATGGAGCGTGTGTTTTTTGAAAAGGTGATGGGATGATGATGGAGCGTGTGTTTTTTGAGAAGGTGATGGGATGATGATGGAGCGTGTGTTTTTTGAGAAGGTGATGGGATGATGATGGAGCGTGTGTTTTTTGAGAAGGTGATGGGATGATGATGGAGCGTGTGTTTTTTGAGAAGGTGATGGGATGATGATGGAGCGTGTGTTTTTTAAGAAGGTGATGGGATGATGATGGAGCGTGTGTTTTTTTAGAATTCTCAAAAAACACACAGTGATGAGATGGTGGGGTGATGGGATGATGATGGTGGGATGAGATGAGGGGACCATGCGTGGCAGGGTTGTGGCCACGGCCATTGCCTGCTTCCGCCGCGTCTACATCAAGTGAGTGGCCAGCCGTGCGTGCACGGCACGCTGAGTGAGGGGGTGATGGGTGGCGGGGCAATGGGGCGATGGGGCGATGGGGCGATGGGGTGGTGGGGCGATGGGGCGATGGGTGTGTCACCTTCGAGAATTCTCACAAGGGGACGATCCGCCCAGCAGCAATACTCAGGTCTTGCTGAGACCTGCCACTCCCCACTTCCACCCCTTTCCCCCTCCCTCCCATCCCCCCTTCTTCCACCCCTTTCCCCCATCCATCCCATCCCCCTCCGTACCCTGTAAGAAGCGAGTCGTTTACCGAGCTGTGACCAGCCGCTCTTTTCTCCCACATCCCCTCCCCACTCTCCCCTCTCACCCCATGCAGCAAGTCATTCGCAGAGGTGGATCCGCGCCTGGCAGCGCTGCCAGCACTCAAAACCCTGCCTGCCCCATCCCCCTGCTCATCCCCCTCTCTCCATCCTCCCCCCCCCCCCCCCCCCCCCCCCCCCCCTCTCTCCCCCCTGCGAGCAGGAAGTCGTTTGCGGAGGTGGATCCGCGGCTGGCAGCGCCGGCAGCGCTGTACGTGGCAGCCAAGGCGGAGGAGTGCACGGTGCAGGCTGTGAAGCTGGTGCACCGCATGAAGAGCCACGCGTGTGAGATGGGAGGAGCGTGGAGAGGAGAATGGAGAGGGGAGAGTTGAAAGGAGAGGAGAGGGATGCAGAGGAGTGCACTGTGCAGGCGGTGAAGCAGTGAGGCATGCGTGTGAGACAGAGAGGGCATGTGGGATAGGACTGCACGCCTGGGCTGTGCATATCATGTTCTTTGCAACCATGATTCTTGAAGTTATGATTGTTGAGATGATTGCATTTGCGCGTGCTTGTCCTTCTGTGTGTGCATATGCTGCATGTATGTGCATGTATGTGCATGCGTGTGCATGTATGTGCATGCGTGTGCATGTGCATGCATGCATGTGCAATCATACATGCACGACATGCATGTGTGGGCATGGCGCCATGGGGTATGAGGTGAAAGACGTACTAGCCATGGAGATGCGGCTGCTGCTGTTAGTTATGAATAATAATATGCTCCCTCTGTGTGTGGTGTGTGCGTGGATGCGTGCGTGTGCAGCAGGCATGTGCGGGCATGGCGCCATGGGCTACGAGGTGAAGGACGTACTAGCCATGGAGATGCGCCTGCTGCAGGCGCTCTCCTTCAACCTCATCGTCTTCCACCCCTACCGCCCTCTCTCCACGTCTGTTCTCTTGCCTTCTCACCCCTTCTTGCTCCTTCTTGCTCCTTCTTGCTCCACATCGTCTTCCACCCCTACCACCCCTCTATACGTCTGTATCCCTTCACCTTTCCTCTTCTTCTCTCGCTTCCTTCTTGTCTTTCACCCGAGCAGCCCCTTCACCACGTCAGTACCCCCCCACCTAAGACAATTCTGGAATGTGACTGTGACTCCACCGCCCCTCTTCTCTCTCTCTTCTCTCGTTTCCCCCTCGTGCATCCCTCATGCATTCAGTGCATCCCTCATGACCTGCACCCACGCTCCGCTCTCTTCTGCGCTCGCAATCGTGTCTTGTGTTCTCTCTCTCTGCCTTTCGTCTGCTGGCGCCTCACCCTTTCCTGTCACGTCTCGTCCGCTTGTCGCCCCTACTCCTCCGCTCCCTTGTGAATAATGACATGGGGCACGGGTGTGATATCGGGGCAGGTACTTGGAAGACGTCAGCAGAGAGCTAAGCCTCTCTGCGAATGCGAAGGAGGAATTCGCTCAGATGGCTTGGTGGGTGAAACTGTGTGAGAGTATGCGTGTGAGTACGTGAGCATGGGGAGTGCGGGAGTGTCTGTGTATGATGTGCTTTAGCATGAGCAGAGAGCTAAGCCTCTCTGCGAATGTGAAGGAGGAGTTGGCTCAGATGGCCTGGTGGGTGCCACAGCCGTGTGCGTGTGTGAGTGCGTGTGTGAGTGCGTGTGTGAGTGCGTGTGTGAGTGCATGTGTGAGTGCGTGTGTGAGTGCGTGTGTGAGTGCGTGTGTGAGTGCGTGTGTGAGTGCGTGTGTGAGTGCTTGTGTGAGTGCGTGTGTGAGTGCGTGTGTGAGTGCGTGTGTGAGTGCGTGTGTGAGTGCGTGTGTGAGTGCGTGTGTGAGTGCGTGTGTGAGTGCGTGTGTGAGTGCATGTGTGAGTGCATGTGTGAGTGCGTGTGTGAGTGCGTGTGTGAGTGCGTGTGTGAGTGCGTGTGTGAGTGCGTGTGTGAAGTCCATACATGTGCCTCACCACAGGCTTGTCTCCCTGCCCCTTGCCATCCCCACATGCTCTTGGGCGCCCACCATGCTCTTGCGCGCCCACCATGCTCTTGCGCGCCCACCATGCTCTTGCGCGCCCACCATGCTCTTGGGCGCCCACCATGCTCTTGGGCGCCCACCATGCTCTTGGGCGCCCACCATGCTCTCACGCCTTCTTGCTTCCATCCCGCATTCCCGTCGCCATGCCTCGCAAACCCTCCTCTCCTCCCCTGTCCCCTCACTCCACCTTCCCTCCACCTCCCTCTCCCCCTCCCCCCCACTCCTCCCTCTCCCCCCTGCTCTTAGCTCAATGGTGAATGATTCATTAAAGACGGACCTGTTGCTGTGCAGCTGTGCCACCCGCCGTTCCCTCATGCACTGCACGCACCGTGCCCCTCTCCCCCCATTCTCCCCCCCATTCTCCCCCCCATTCTCCCCCCCATTCTCCCCCCCATTCTCCCCCCCCATTCTCCCCCCCCATTCTCCCCCCCCATTCTCCCCCCCCATTCTCCCCCCCATTTCCCTCCTGCCACATCCCTCAAGTCAATGGTAAATGACTCATTCAAGACGGACCTATCGCTGTGCCACCCGCCATGCCCTCATGCACCCCATTCCCCTCGCTTTTCAAGTAACTTCCCCTCCTCCCCCACACAATTCCCCCTCGCCCTTAGGTCAATGGTGAACGACTCATTCAAGACGGACCTGTCACTGTGCCACCCGCCGTTCATCATTGCCCTTGCATGCATCCACCTCGTTGCTCTCATGCGCCACCTGCCCCTCCTGCCCTGGCTCGAGGGCCTGCACATCGACATGCACCGGGTAGGGGCTCTGCGTTTGTATGCACTGTGTATGGTGGAGGTGCATCAGGTATGGTGGAGGTGCATCAGGTATGGTGGAGGTGCATCAGGTATGGTGGAGGTGCATCAGGTATGGTGGAGGTGCATCAGGTATGGTGGAGGTGCATCAGGTATGGTGGAGGTGCATCAGGTATGGTGGAGGTGCGTCAGGTATGGTGGAGGTGCATCAGGTATGGTCACTGATGGTGCGTTTTGAATGGCTGGATGGGGGCAGGACTGATATGCACCAGATACGCTCTCCACCTTACCCTTCCCCTCATCCTCTCCTCTTTCTTTTCCTTGGCACATCACCCCCTTCCCTCATCGCCTCCTTTGCATCACCCCCACCCCTCACCACCCACAATGCAAGTCAGAGAAATGTCAACATCTCTTTTGGACCTGTATGAAGAATTCTCATCGCCCCCTTTCCCTCGTCAACCCCTCACCTGTTACCCCCTCCCCTCATCACCCACAATGCAGGTGAGGGCAGTTTCAACAGCGCTCTTGGACCTGTATGAGGAGTTCTCATTGCTCACAGTGGATCAGATCTCAGCTGCCTCATCATTGATCCATATCACCCTTTCACAACCTCCCTTGCGACCCCCTCCCCCCATTACTCTCCAGGTGAGGGCAGTGTCAACAGCGCTCTTGGACCTGTATGAGGAGTTCTCATCGCTCACAGAGGATCAGATCTCAGCTGCTGTCTGCAAACTGCCCATGCGCCTGCCCTAGCTGCCCATGCGCCTGCCCTAGCTGCCCATGCGCCTGCCGTAATTGCCTTTGCGCTTGTTCAGCTGCCCCACACCTAACAGCCATGCGAAATGTTAATCCTCATTCAGCTGGCAGTCTTTCGGAATAGATCTCTTTGCTTTCTGATGTAAATAAATGTACGTGTTCATAGTAAGTGCCTCCCTCTTATGGCAAAAAGGCAGTACCAGTTGTTGTGCTCGTTAGGACACGGTGAAAGTAGACGATCGATCATCAGTCGCGATCGATGTGCGGATTGGTTACCCTATTTACCGTGCTCAAACATGCTATAGTACACTTTTTGGCCAACTTTTCTGTAAAGTGTGTAAATGTGACTGATCACTGATTGTGGGAGATCTGCCAGTTCTCAGGTGTGATCGTTACAACGTCGCGGTCGTCACGTTTCGCTAATCGATCTGCCCACTCGATTGTGGAGCTCGATATATGTAGACGATCCTGCGATATTTGCACTTTCACCACGTCCTTATAATCTGAGAATTGATAGATTTATCAAAATTAATTGGAGTCACCACTACTAATGCACAGGTTACATAGGCTAGAGACTTTACCAACACATGCCGTCAGATTTCTGCCTAGATACAAGCTTGCAAGATGTTTGGAAAATGAAGTGTGGGTGAGAGAAGCAGCGGGCTTGATGCGCCTCAGAGTCGGGTAAATTCCTCCCCATTCCGACGCCTGAGGCGACTCAAGCTCGCCCTAAACAGCCCCGAAGAGTCCTCGCCAACGATCGTTAGCAGAGAAAACGTGTCGCCAGGCCTTTGTCATCGCGAGGGTAACACCGTAACACTGTAGGCTTCTTATCGCACGGACAGCACGGGCCGCTGATAACCAATAATGTCCACGCGTCCGGCCTTGGAAGCGTCGCCGAGATGGTCGCCGCGACAACCGCCAGTGTCATGCACGCCGCGCGCAGCATCTTCTACCGGACGAACTTTCTGCGAAGCCTCCTTTTGAGCTGCCTGCCTCTCCTCTTCCTGCTTCAGCGACCGCTCGCGTCGCCAGGTGCGGAAGGTGCGGACAACGCTGCGGGGGCTCGCGGGTTGCGCGGGGAAGCCGATGGGGAGCGCGAACCAGGGGTGCGCAAGCACCTCGTCCACGGTCGGGCGCATGTGCGGGAGCGGCGAAACCATCCAGCGAATCAAATCCTTCGCCACCTCCGAAACCTTTCGCCAGCATGGTAACTCCCAGTCGACCGCGTCGTCGAGGCATCGCGAGCGGTGGAAGGCGGGCCACGTGCCCGAGAGCATCGCGTAGAGCGTCACGCCGAGGCTGAAGATGTCCGCTGATTGGTCGTACGCTTTATTAGCCAGCACCTCGGGCGCCTCGTATGGGAAGCTTCCCGCGTACCCCACCACGCGCTGCCCCGGTCGCAGAGCGAGCGACAGACCGAAGTCCGCGAGCTTCGCGGAGGGCATAGTGGCGGAAGCGGAGGGGACGGAGGGGGAAGCGGGAGGGGAGACGGAGCGCGATCGCGCGCGAAGCGGGTTAAGCTGGAGCGATGTGAAAGGGTGCTTGGGCGCGGGGGTGGGACTCGCAGCGCGTGTATCGGCGGCGGACGCGGTGGTGGTTCCGGGGACGAGGAGGATATTTTCGGGCTTGATGTCGCGATGGATGACGCCGTTGTCGTGGCACTGCTTCACGCCACGTGTCACTTCGAGAAACAGCCTCTGGGCTTCCATTTCAGGCAAGAAGCCTTTCTTCTGAATAAGGTTCAACAAATCCCCGCCACTGCAATACTCCATAACAACATAAACGGAGTCCGCGTCTTCGTAAATCCCTTGCAGCGAGACCACGTTGCGGTTACCCGAGAGCGTTGCCATGACTTCGATTTCGCGAACGGCGGCTTTAATCCCTTTTTAGCCGAGGCCCGTGAGGCTGATGTGCTTGCACGCGAAGAGGCGGCCCGAGTCGCGCTCCTCGCAGCGCCACACGGTGCCGTACTGCCCCTCGCCCAGCATGTCGATCAGCTCGTACCGCGCGGAAAGCTCGCTCGCGGGGAGCACTTCGAGGCTTTCGCGATCCATGGCTGCGACTCGGCGACTGTCTGGGCAACTAGTTCGGCGACCGGCGATTGTCTGTGCGAGTATGCGTGCGTGTAAGGAGGAGGTCGTAGGCGTGGTGGGCGTGTCGCGAAGGTATGCGCCTTTTTTTAACGTGGAGAGTTGAGAGCGACGAACGGGGTGACTGTGGTGACTCTGGTGGATGGTCGCGCGAGAGAAGTCGCGGAGTAAGAGCTCGAGCAGCTTGAGGTATCTGAAAACGACGGAAGCTTTTTTAGCCAAACAAGTGCTTTTTCTGTGCCGCAAGCTATTATCGGGTCGAGTGGAGTGATGAGAAACGGAAGCACTGCATCTGTCTATTCGTAGTAACGGTGATGCAGTTCGGTCGGGGAGGATGGTGGTGGGTGTGCCACTGGGGGGTAGAGTGGGCGGATGGGTGGGGGAGAGGAGGACGAGCCAAAGTGGCCAAGCCTGATTGCACAATTTGGAGTGTAGCGGCTGGGTGCGTTTGAAAATAGCGCAGCGCGAGTACCCCTGCCAGGCGAGGCCCTGCGCTCTCGCGCGAGTGAATCAGCGCCTCGGGAAGCAGCCGGGGAAACACCAGGCGCAGTCGTTCAAGCAATCTGGTTCAAAAACCGACGACTGGGAAGAGAAACGTCGGTGGCCAGGGGGGAACGTTGGGGAGGGTGGGTGTGTGGGGCGGGGGCGGGGGAAATCCTGGCGGGGCGCAGCTGTTGAAACGCGTTTCCCGTCCCGTCCCGTCTCCTGAGGTGTTGTTCATTCCTCGATCCCTTTCCCTAGTGCTAGGTCGAGAGCGCGCCTTTCGCCAGATGTTGAAAGCTGGCTTGGGGGAATTGTGAACCTAAGGGAGAGAGAGGGGAGGTTAGGCGAGGGGGAGGGGGAGCGGGGAGGGGGGAAGAGAAGGGTGGGGGGGGAGATGATGGTTTCTTGTCGGTGGCATGGCGAGGCAGTGGAGTCGACTGCTGCAACACGTTCCGTTTGAACCAATCACCGATCACCGAAGCGAGGATGACAGCTCACATGACAATTTCAAGCCGCATGGTGATGCCATTCGCGCACTCGATCCGGCCGTCAAACCAGCTCACTTGCGGGTCATGCGCGGAAAGGTGCTTAGGCAGGAAGCTTCTTCTGGGAAACAAGGGGCAGCATAGAACTACCACGCTATTGGCTCGCCGCGGTGTGAATTTTGACCCGCGTCAACTCCCACCTTCGCGCAACTACGTCTCCTGATTTCGTTGCGCTGACTCGGTCAAAGTAAGCTGTTGGCAGGCATGCTATGCTTCGGTCAGTCGGTCGGTGTACGATACGATTCGCAGTTGCTCCCAACCACATCGGTCAGGAGATGCGGCTGTGGGAGTGGCCAATCACCCAACTCAAAGAAGGAAACGAGGATCACCAAACGCACTCACAAATGAAACGAACTTCTCAACAAGACGACACGACAGCTGGTGGCAATGGGATCCACTGGCCCACTGAACCACCATCGGTTGGGTCAATCAAATCGTCCTAGTATACACCTAGGGTTTAATCAAATCGTCTGTATAATTCAGGGTTAAAAATTCCAGCATCACCACCACCTTTCATCTTATTGATATACTATGGTTATGCATCATGAACGCGGGTGGAATAGAGGTCGAGCCTGCTAGCACCCTGGAGAATCCTTCTTGTGGTTAGATTGAGAAGGGGCACCGACATGGCAGGGACTAGAGATTGAGCCTGCTTATACCTTAACATTGCATGCGAAGACTACATGACGAAAGCTTCGGCATCCTTGCAGTGGGGCATTCAAATAGTAGCAATCGTATATGTATATTGTATGACAGCATCTGTTATAGAACATGCCCCTTGTAAAAGATACATGCCCATTACCGTAATATAACTCCACTAGTTCAGTTGTTTGTATGCGTCGGAGGCAGCTCGCTGGAAGCAGAACGCATTCTCTTCTCAGCTCTCGCCGTCTCTCCAGTAAATATTATGTCGCCAGTGTCCCTCCGTTCATCACAACCAGACCCCTTTCTGTACAGCACTCGTGTAATGTCGGGCGCCCTTGGTCATACCGACATGCACGGAACGAACATTCCTCGTTGCAGCTGCCCGCGAATGTTGCCCAGGAACTTAAACGCCGACACTTGCACGTAATAGTTGGCGGGGTTTAAATCAAGCTGCTTCAAAACGTTCGTAACCGTTTGCCCGTTGCTCGCCTTGGCGGAATCCGCCTGCTTGATCCACCCGACCGACTTGTACGTGATGCCATCGGCGCGCAGTGCGATCGTGGGCGTACCCGGAATGGTCAGAATAGCGTCGCCGGTTGCTCCCGCGGGGCCGTAGTTGAGCGTTTTGAAGAGCGGAAAGTAGAGATCGTTGGAGGTAAGCTCGAATTTGATGTCCGTGCCCTTGGTGCTCCTGCAGTGGGGTAGAAGGAGAAATGCGGTTGTCTGCATAAGGTGCAGTGTGCCATACCTTTTGAGTGATTCCCACAAGTTTTATTTCCTTTTTAGGCGAGGCGTAACAAGAGATGCACGGAAACGTCAGATAGAACGCGGATTACCACAGGGGAATGGAATATATTTACAAGTGTCGTGTGTAATATAGAGGGAGGTTCTTACGAGAATACAGTAATCTTGAGGGTGCCGTCCGCCATTTGCGTTGTATCGGCCTTCTTCTTGTCGCCTCGCATCGTCGCCTGGATAACACCTGCGCAATCCAGTAGAATCAACGGGCAACAGTTAGAACAGGCAAACAATCAAAGAACGGGCGAGAATAAAAACAAACAAACAAACATAGACACAGAGATAGACAGAACGCAGAAGACAAACATACGTAGCAGCACATGTCAAAGAGGACACGAGGACTTTGCTCGTTGTGCTGATCAGCATTGAAGGGACTTGTCGAATGTCACCATTTTTGGGAAGCATTGCGGAGCATAAATTGTCGCAGAACTTACTGACGACGGGGTTGCTGAAGATCGCAGGGCATCGCACGAGCCATGATTGTGACAGAGGGACGGTAGCTGACAGGAGTAATAGAACGGCAAGCGAGCCTGCGGCGTCGAGAGTGGTCAAGAGGGAAATGGGGGGGGGGGAGGGCGGGGGTAGAGGGAGAGGGGGATGACAATGTTTCTGTGCGTCAGGGATAGAAATATCGGCGCTCGATGTTGTTTGCAGGGTCACTGAAGCCAGGCAACGAATGAAGAGTGGTAGGAAGACGCACCTATGCGACGGTCCATTGGAACTGAGGTTGAAGAGGACGAGGAACGATAACGATGACCAAGATACTCAATTTCGACAGCTTATATTTCCGACGCTAGCCTGCTTAGCAACCTGGATAAATTTGGTGGACTATGCACAGAGCTAGTGAGCAGCTACGAATGGTCCTTGAAAAACTTGCTGATAACATTGCTGATAACTCGACTGATAACATGCTTAGCATCACATTGCTGATAACTCGACTGACAACTTCAGATATGAATAGGTCAGTCGAGTTATCAGCAATGTGATGTGATGAGCTTTTTGAAGTCTGGTGGTGATGTGTGGAGGAGCTGTCAATTCTGGAGCTGAAGACAGCCGACAATTCGGATCCCAAATCAATTTCAACGGATCGCGCATTTCGTGTGAGGGAACACGAGGCGGGACATCACGAGCCGCGCCCCCACAGCACCACGTAACGCTTCTGAAGGAAAATTGCGAAAGTCAAAATTGTGTGTGCGAGAGTTGACGACGACTGTGCTGGAAGCATGGTGGTCGCCGACAGCACCTGTACACAGTCGCCAGACAGACACGAAATCAAAGAACCGTCGCACACATGCGATGAGAGTGGAAGCATCGGATTTTAGGAGGAGCACGACGAGATTCTTTCAGCACAAAACGACAGGCATTTCTGACAACAAGCCTGCTTTCCAAAATGAACAAGTCATAACCAGATTCAGAACTGTACATAATGAATGAATTCAACATGTTGAGGGCAATCTCCTAAGCTATTAAAACCCGCAGCCCGAATTACAAAACTGAGTCAACGCCAGGCTTGGGTTGTGCTTCGGCTTAACCAATCTGACGTTCGGAAGAATTGCGAAACAGGCTGGCTAGCGAAACAAAGTAGCGACAACCTGGTGTCGCACCCATGCAAACGACAGGCAGGGAATGCGAAAACGGAACCAAGGCAATGGGAGAGCGTAGCCTAAGACATTTCGACATACCTCCCATACTGCACCACTGCTTTAGATGACTTATCCAAGTACCACAAACAGCGACTAAGACAACAACCAGGCCCACATTGCGCGTCGCCCAAGAACTCAATGACTCGGTCGAGAAACGCCCATAGCCTCCTTTTGCACGCAAGCCGACGAGAACCACATTTAGCCTGCACGAAGCGGGGGAATAGCCTTCCCGGAGCCCGTTTTTAGCCTGAACGTCGCCCGCAAAAAGCCTTCCCGTCGCCCGCATTTAGCCTTCCCGTCGCCCGCATTTAGCCTGAACGTCGCCCGCATTTAGCCGAGCCGTCGCCTGTGGTTACCAATCTCTTCGCCCGCAAAAGGCGTGATCTCAAGCCTATATTATCTGCCCGTCAGGCTCATTTCCCCCTCGAAGCAAAGGCCGTTCTTCTTCCCGTCGCCAGCTTCAGGCCTCTTCGTCGCGCGCATTCTGCGTTTCTGAGCACTAACATTCCCCTTACCGTCAGCGCCTTACCCATTCCCCTCGACCGCAAATCCCCTTTGCACCGACTTCATCTCCCCTGCCCGTCACCGCAAATCCCCTTTGTAGCCCACTCCGTCGCTCTCGCGGGCACGTGGCCACTAAGCTGTTGCGGACTGTGGGCCCTCCCACCCTTCTCGCCTTTCTCATCTCCCGAGCAAGGGCGCCCACAGAACCTGTGTTCCGGCGCCCACAGATTCCGTGAACCAGCGGGCCCACGTACCCACTCATCCCATTTCCAGGTAGGGACCCATCCCCATCGCTTCACACTCCCTTCCCCAGCGCCTCACACTCCCTTCCCCATCGCCTCACACTCCCTGAGCCAGCGCCTCACACTCCCTTCCCCAGCGCCTCACACTCCCTTCCCCAGCGCCTCACACTCCCTTACCCACACACTCACACTCCCTTCCCCAGCGCCTAACACTCCCTTCCCCACACACTCACACTCCCTTCCCCACACACTCACACTCCCTTCCCCACACACTCACACTCCCTTCCCCAGTGCCTCACACTCCCTTCCCCATCGCCACACACTCCCTTCCCCAGCGCCTCACACTCCCTTCCCCATCGCCTCACACACCCTTCCCCACCGCCTCACACTCCCTTCCCCATCGCCACACACTCCCTTCCCCAGCGCCTCACACTCCCTTCCCCATCGCCTCACACACCCTTCCCCATCGCCTCACACTCCCTTCCCCAGCGCCTCACACTCCCTTCCCCAGCGCCTCACACTCCCTTCCCCAGCGCCTCACACTCCCTTCCCCATCGCTTCACACTCCCTTCCCCAGCGCCACACACTCCCTTCCCCACACACTCACACTCCCTTCCCCACACACTCACACTCCCTTCCCCAGCGCCTTGCACTCCCTTCCCTAGCGCCTCACACTCCCTTCCCCAGCGCCACACACTCCCTTCCCCACACACTCACACTCCCTTCCCCACACACTCACACTCCCTTCCCCAGCTCCTCACACTCCCTTCCCCAGCGCCTCACACTCCCTTCCCCACCTCCTCACACTCCCTTCCCCAGCGCCTCACACTCCCTTCCCCAGCGCCCCACACTCCCTTCCCCATCGCCTCACACTCCCTTCCCCAGCGCCTCACACTCCCTTCCCCATCGCCACACCCTCCCTTCCCCAGCGCCTCACACTCCCTTCCCCAGCGCCTTGCACTCCCTTCCCCAGCGCCTCACACTCCCTTCCCCAGCGCCACACACTCCCTTCCCCACACACTCACACTCCCTTCCCCACACACTCACACTCCCTTCCCCAGCTCCTCACACTCCCTTCCCCAGCGCCTCACACTCCCTTCCCCACCTCCTCACACTCCCTTCCCCAGCGCCTCACACTCCCTTCCCCAGCGCCCCACACTCCCTTCCCCATCGCCTCACACTCCCTTCCCCAGCACCTCACACTCCCTTCCCCATCGCCACACCCTCCCTTCCCCAGCGCCTCACACTCCCTTCCCCAGCGCCTTGCACTCCCTTCCCCAGCGCCTCACACTCCCTTCCCCAGCGCCTCACACTCCCTTCCCCAGCGGGCCCCATGCCTCACCAACCCATCCCTAAACTCCGCATCCCTCATCTCCCATTGCCTCGCCTCACCGTCCCGCACCGGCCCATCCCTCACCTCCCCATCCCTCCCTCAATCTCCTTCCCTTTGCAGCATCCCATTCCCCCCACCTCACTCTCACACACCCTTCTCTCATCCCATTTCCCCCATTCCCACTCTCTTTCCCTCGTTTAGTCATCCCAGTTCCCCTATCTCACTCCCTTTCCCCCGTCCCTCACCCCTTTGCCCACCTGCTCAATCTCTGCTCTCCTTGTTTCGTCCCAATTCCCCCCTGCTCACTCTTAGTCCCCCTTCAAGGGAAGCGAGGATAGTGAGGAAAGCAAGGGGAGTAAGCACTCTATTTCCCCTCTTCACTCACCCCATTTCCCCCAGCTCACTCTCTTTCCCCCGTTACTCATCCCATCTCCCCCCACCACTCTCCCCTTTCCACTCTTCGCTGTGCACCTGTCTCAACTCCCCACCCTCTTACCACTTACTCCCTCTCTCCCCCCCTCCCCATCTCTCCACCCATCGCCCTCCATTTTCTACCCCTCCCCTCTCCTCTTTTATCTTCTCATTCACGCAACCACCATCCTCATCTCCACCTCAAACCTAATCCTCTCACACTCCCGCACGCAGGGATCCACGGTTCTACCAGACTTACAGTCCAGCGCACAAGGAGAGCGTGAGCATTCATGCGAGAGGAAATTGAGCAGTCACGGCAAAGGTGAGACCGACACGGATATAGCGCCCAGCTATTGACTTCCCGCTCAACCTCACATCCCCTTCCCCAGCACCCTCACATTCCCGCAGTCAGCTCCCCCCCTACAACTACCCCGTAGCTCTCCACCTCTTCCCTACTGCATACTCCTAGCCTCACTTCCCCTCTCCTTACCCCTTGATCCCATATCACCTCCTCTCCCCTTACCACCAAATCTCATCTCACCCTCCCTTCCCCCACCACTTAGGCACATCTCATCTCCGCAACCCATACCACTTACTCCCAACTCACCTACACTACCCATACCATTTACTTCCAGCTCACATCCTCTACCCATACCATTTACTTCTTGTGCATATCCTCTACCCATACCATTTACTCCCAGCTCACATCCTCTACCCACACCACTTACTCCCAGCTCACATCCTCTAACCATACCGCTAACACCCAAGTCCCTCGCCCTTACCACTTATTCTCATCTCCTATCTCCCTACTACCACATCCACCAAACCACTTACTTCTTCTCCGTTTCCCCCTTACCCCCCAATTACTTTCCCATTTCACTCACCCCATCCCACCCTTTGCCCATGCGTTCATCCGTGATCCATCCTGCTCACTCTATTTCCCCCTTTCCTCTGACTGTTTATTGCATGTGAGTTGCACCCCATCAAGATGGCGCAACCTACGGCGTCGGAACTTTGTCACTTGTTTGATCAACGTCACCATACTGTCCACTTACACCTTCGTGCTCCTGTCTGCTATCTGCACGTTGGGCTGAGTGTGCTGATGCCGGACACAACTACAGCAACACTCTCTGATGTGTTATCGATTTACATGCTGGCAGCACCACATGTCACCCAGAGATTACTAAGAGCAGCTATGAATGCAGGTGATGTGAGGGAAATTGTTAGACCATCCATGGTGCCCACTATGTTTCCTGCTCAATCAAGCATCAAACATCGTGTGTCATGCACATTACGTGTGTTACGGATTTCCACGTGACTTTTCTCCCCCCGTTTACGCTTTCTCAACTTCTAATCCCCTCCAAATGTAGGAACCGGGGGCACTTTGGCCGGGAATATGGTAAAGTTGCAGCTTGAGGCGACGGAGAAAGCGTTTTGGAAATGCATGGGTGGGGAGCTTGATGGAGTGGACGATTTGCTCAAACGGCCCGATCGGATTTTGCAAGGGGTGGCCTACAACTTTCCATTATGGGAGTTGGACCAAAACGGGGTGCCAAGGAGAGTCAGCAGTCGGGGTTCGGACG